TAGCCCATATGTGGGAGTACCCCCTGCCCCCCGGGCTTAGTAGTGACACATTATTTTTATGGAGGAATTGTCGTATGTGCTTACCCGATATTTTGTTTCCTGTGCTCATGTTCGCTTTTATTTTTCACTACCGCTCATTTTCACCTTGCTGGCCGCTAGCATTTCTCATTTTCTCACCGCCGCTTTGAATTTTCATGTTTTTCTTCCTGCGAAATTCGTCTCCTTTGTTTTCAATAACTCGCTCTAGCTCTTTCTCTGTTATCCACGTGAGTGTAAACATAAAAAATAACGCCGAAAAAGGCACGACTTTGTCGTTGTTTTTTCTTTCTAAAAGTCTGGGCGGCCATATAAAACCTTCAGTTGCATTTGGGTTGCCATACCTATTGATTGAGTTATTTTACATTGGTATGCCTGTGTTGCAAACGGACGGTCCGAGGAGGTCGGTGCACGGTCACGTGATTACCAAATTTTCTCGGATAGGTAGATTACCACACAGCACCGCTCAAATAATCGAAGTTAAGACTCCACCTTCAGCTCGAAAGACGCGATGTTTGTCTCGCGAGAGAGGCTAACACTGTAAGTACGAAGTAAATTTTTTTACCTTTCTTCAGCTTCTTTGATCATTGACTCTAGTTTTCCAATGGACTGAAACACAAACAGAGAACCGTAAATTCTCAAATAATCATTTTCTCAGAAAACCCATGCCATGCCCCTTTCCAAAATCATCATCAACAACAACAAAACACACACACGCACCCTTTTCATACGGTCGCCCGTTATCGCCACTATGAACGATACAACCTTTCTCGCCTGCGATTTTTTTTACAAGCCTACAGTGTACCACGTCAATGTCATCACGTTAAGGCTCATTTTCATTTCGGCGAAAAAACAAATCTGACAAAGATTGTAGCACTCCTAAAGATTATAGCAACTTATTAAACCGGTATTCTTGAGCTTGGACTGGCTTTTATCTCAACGATCTTAAGTTGAAAAACTGTAGGAGCGATCAAAACAATAGACCTCATTCACGATACAAGCCATTTAGGTTGCGTTTGATTCGGAAATCCGCATTCAGATTTTAAAATCCGGATTTCAGATTTGGCAATCGAACGCGAATCCCGAAAACGGATATGACCACGGAGAAATCCGTCCTCAGGATGGATTTTAATTAAAAACTCCAAATCCAGATTTCATGAATTTCCTTTGTTCTTTCAAAATATCTAAACAAATCCCATAACTTCAAAAATTTAATTTTTTTATGACGTCATCACTTTAGAACTCTCTTTGCACGCGCTTTTTAAGACTGACAGGATGAAAGCGATGTCACGTGGCTACTCAGAAGACAAAAGAGTGATAAAATCTGCCGATACAAGAAATCGCTATCGAGTTTGTTTATTCTAGCATGTTAATTCTAGCATATTCTAACTATGATTCTAGACAACAGAAAATGAAGTACTTTTTTCCCTAACGACGATGGGTGGAAGCGATCATGGCTACTTTTTTGGATGCAATAGCAACCGTTGATATTCTCACAGTAAGCAATGATTTAAAACTTGTCGAAACTTCGAGAGCATAAACAAACTCGACCTCGTATTGGCAAATTTTATGACTCGTTTGCCTCTGAAATTTCACGTGACATTGTTTTGCCCCATCAATCCTAAAGAGCGTGCAAGGATAGCCGGTATCGGGAACAAGGTCTATTGGAATAAGGTCTGCGTTGTAGGCGCGTGGAAGTAGAACGGAGCGCGCGACAGAGACAAGCGATAGTATGGAAGAAGCAGACGAGGTTGTGCGAGACACGTATTTCTCGTTTAGAAATTCAAGAATAGCTAGCCTAGCATTCAAGACACTGTTGACTTACACGTAGTATCGTTCTTGATGGATTTTTGGCCAGGTAAAGAAAGTTTCTTGCCTTATTAATCCATGTTTTATTATATGCCGTGTTTATCTACATTTACTTACACCATATCTCTGGGCAACAATGTCAGCAAAGCTTCTTCCCTCCTCTTTAGCTTGTTCCTGAGCTCTCTTATAAGCTTTCTTTAACCAATCACTGCTAAGTGAACTGCTGGAACTTACTACAGCGAACAGAAACAAAACGAAAGAACAACACTCAAGTAAGCCTGTGTATGGCTGCCCCTCACTTATAAAACGTTTGGGAGAAGGACTCTTCACGATTTTTTACCGCGGTGGGTTTAGCTCAGTTGGTGGAGCTCTAGACTGCAGAGCGGAGGTCGTGGCTCGATTCCCAGGGCCGGACCATTACTCAGGGTCTTTATATAACTGAGAAATGAAAGTTCTTTCATTGCCCTGCAAAAAGCTAGACCTTAGCGTGGCTCGGATGATCACGTAAAAATGCGGTACCGTCTCCAAAAGGAGACGTAAAACTGGTGTCATCAGTTAGTACTTTCGTGCTAAATACATTGACACTTAAATAAAGTAAATCTTTTTTGTTTGAGGGAAGGACGCACCTGCACACAGGCTATGCTCAAGTTAAAAACAGTGTTTTTCAAGAACATGACATTTTGACTCCTTGCAGGTACGGTCAAACGGGCAACAAAAAACGTAAAACGTGTTTTGCAACATTGGTGCAAAAGGAGTAGAAAAGAGATGTTGCGTGTTTTACCACCCACATTCAAACCTGTCTCGCAATAAATTAGGTTGTTGCAACCTATCGCAACATTGCTTTTAAAATCGTTTTGCAGCAACTTTGCAAAACAAGTTGCATGTTTTTGTTGTCCGTTTCACCTAGCTTATCAGGAGTTTTCTCCAAGAAATTTAAAAACTTGAAATTGTGGAATTATTGATTAAAACGAAGTTGGTTTTGGTATAGTTACCTTGTACTTGTCTGGTTTCCTGTGCATTCTCTCTCTCAGATGGTAGGCCTGTTCCTCCATCTTTCCAATATGGGTTTAACTCTTTTGGATGCTGTCCTGGCTGTGGAAGAAAATACAAAGTTAAGAAACGGAAGTTACTGCAAACTGTATCGAGAAACACAATTATTTAGAGTGCAATACTGAGTGCAATGGCAACGTGCAAAGAAAGTAGTATTCGATAGCCCGGGACTAGTGGCATTGCTATCGGGCTAGTGAATTCTGTTCTTTACTTGCCAGATGGGCAAGTGAAGTTTTTTTGAGGAATTCAAATTACAGAAGAACTATGTAATCAATCCTGCTTATCAAAAAATTTTTGGGGCTAGTTGAAATCAGTTTTGGGCTAGTAAATGCTAGCCGCAACTTGCCCGAATGGCAAGCTGTAAAAAATGACTTTCTTTGCACCCTGAATGGACACAGTGCTTGAGAAAATATCTTGAACTGCAGCTTCAAGTTCAGGCAAGTAGCTTTCAAAATTTGCTAATGCCGGGTGCAGTTACGTGCTTGCCTCAGTTTACTGTTTAGTGAGAAGACAATTTGCCCGAAACCTTGTCTATCAGTCCCTCCAAGCAAGTGTGTTAAGTTACCTGCCTGGAAGGAAAATATTCCCTTTTCCCAGACAACCAGACGGGACAATTTTCAAGCTCTGGATCGATGCATAGCATATAGGGACCTTAAGATACCCTGGACGTGGCCTCGGAGAACGGCAGCCGGAAGTAAATTTGGCCAACCAAATCTTATGGTTTGTTTTTCCCGCGCAAAGGTGGCGGTCACGACCCATGCCCTCTCGGACGCGACCGCGTTCTTCACGGCCGCCGCTTAAGATCCCTACTGACTGTTGTAGCAACCCTCTTCAGCTAAAGAAACCAGTCAGTGGTGCCACGTGTTTAAGAAACAGTTCGTGCGTTTTTGTGTTTAAGGGCACCCTGGGTGCCAGGCACTTTTCATGCGCCGTTTATGGTTTCGGTCAAGACACATCCGCCGCTCTCCATCACCAAACACGAGAAAAAACCTCTGGTACCCAGTGTAGTTTACGGGTTAAAAACGTTACAATAAGGCATAGGGTGGTTATGCTTACGAAGAATAGTTCTACTAAAATCAGAAGGAATGATTAAACAAACCAACAAAAAAATTCTGATTGCCTTTTTCATTGCAAAGGCTTGCTAAATGAGACACAAGCAAGTGCAGAAATAACAGTCATTGTTGGTCGCCAACAGGTTTCCCTGGATGCAGGATTTGCCTCATTTATAGGCTGGGACTCGGAATTTAAAACCAGATGAGTGGGGAGATTTGGAATTGAAAGTATACACGGGATACGGAGTACAGAAAATAACCATCGGGATAAGTTACGGGATTGCGAGAATTTTATTGGAATTGAAAGTATACACGGGATACGGAGTACGGAAAATAACCATCGGGATAAGCTACGGGATTGCGAGAATTTTTTGGGAACTGAAAGTATACACGGGATACGGAGTACAGAAAATAACCATCGGGATAAGTTACGAGATTGCGACAAATGTTTTGAGTGGGAAGACAGAATTGAAGAACCCTATCGGGGATACTCATTGTTGGTATTGGATACACAGTGTAGCAAGTGAACTGGCAAAAACACAATGCATGTAAAATTCAACCCACTGAGAAACACTTAAGCCAAACTGCTCACTTGATCTATGCAAGAGAGAGCTTTGAACTTGCTGTCCTCCTCTTGACTCTCCTCTTTTTCTGGTTCTTCGTCGTCAACGTCCATTGCTTGATCTGGGCTTGATATGATTGGAGGAAACAGCATCCAACTGTCACGCTGCTGTCAAGAACAAGAGATTTTCAATGTTCATTCTAAAGCAATTCACTCTAAGGTAATTTTGAAAGTGATCTTGAATCAGTAGTTGTTTTTACATGTGGACAATAGACCTTTTTACCGATACGGCGGCCATATTGAATTAATTCGATTTAAGGAGTATTATAGGATGCCCAGGGGGCATGAGCACATTTCGTTTGTATTTTCCAGCGCTTTTCGGGACATTTTTTCTTTAAGTTTTCTTAGAATAAGATTTTGATGGGAAACACGATCCTTGTGCCGTGTTTGGATGTAATAATGATCGCCTTTTTTGCCAAGAAATATGCACTGAAAGATCTTATTTCTAATACTAAATTAGAAAAAGGCGATCATTATTACATCCAAACACGGCACAAGGATCTCTTTTCCCATTATAATCTTATTCTAAGAAAACTTTAAGAAAAAATGTCCCAGAAGGCGCTCGAAAATACAAACGAAATGTGCTCATGCCCCCTGGGCATCCTATAATTCTCCTTAAATCGAATTAATTCAATATGGCCGCCGTATCGGTAAAAAGGTCTATTAGAATGAGGTTCCCCCAAGATAAGAGGTAAACTCCCCATAAAAATGGGAGGAAAAAAATGTCTTTTGGCCTTTAATGAGATGCAACCTGCCATAATGTTACACCATGTATGTTACTAAAGATAGCGTAAGGTGAAATACATGGAGAGAGACAAGGGGGTTTACGGTATTGCGGTATTGGGCTTTTTTTCAAGCGTTATTTCGGTAATTTTAGTTTTAATGTGCGGTATTACGGTATCACCGATCCCTGTGGGGTGCGGTTTTTCATCCTTTCGGCTAACGGTATTCGGTATAAGAAGATCCTTCACGGTACTGCGGCACGGTTCATTTGCGCTCTCCTGTCACTACAGTTAATCTATGATGAAATTGGTAGAGCATCCAATGTCCAGGTTTTTTATCGTTGTACCGATCAACTCGAGGTCTTATCACGTTTTCTCGCACTATTCAATTGCTGACGCATAAACGCTTAGGATAAACAAACAAGCAAGATGGATACAACTTTAAGTAAGCGTGACCGATCATAAATGCAGTATCGATATTTTGTCCATTGCCGACACGCTATTTCAGTATTTACCAATACCAATTTTTCTTACGGTATTACGGTATTGGGTATCCCCAATGTCCCCCTCCACATGTATATAGAGTATAGACTTAATACCTGAGGTTGACCTGAAGAAGAGCTCTCTTTGCTCTCTGTGTTGGCTGCTGTTGGGTCTTGTCCTTTTTCCACCCACTCATCCTCCGATTCCTACAGCAATGATGACAATGATAATCTTAACCAAAAAAAAAAACAACAAACAAACAAAAAAACGAGCAACAACAAATAGGACGTTTTTCTGACTTAAGTGATAGGTCAACTGAGATGGCTGGATGTGTTGGCCAAGTTTTTTCATCTTGCTCCACAGCAGCAAACAAACAAACAAACAAACACGATAAGAACAAGGCCATTATCCATCCACCCACCCGATCTGAGCAAGATTGGTTAAAAAGGGATTTACCTTTGTGTATTACTGATCAAAATAAGTTTTTTTTCCCTGCAGAAAGAAAGCGCAAAATCAAAAGCAGGATTGCCCATTCTAGCCACCAATCAGCAGAGCACGGGATTTGCTTCATTTTGCTCACTAAAATGTAGCGGGCGGGGGAAGGGTGGGGCGGGGGGTGGTGAAGGAGAGCCATAACAATAATTTTATGATTATAATTACAAAGAAAATTAAAATTTTAATAATTTACATTGCTGTTGTAATATTTACAATGAAAATTGCCAGCATAATGTGAAAGAAGCACAATCTCAGAAGATTCTTAGAGCTTAGGGGGGAATACATGAAAAAGCCTTTGAGAACATCTGTATCCGGCTAGGACCAGATTAATTCCCTGGCCCTCGTCATTGCCAACTATACAAAAAACATAAGTAGGTTGAGTATGATCATACGGGTGAACACTGTCACTAACGTTTCAACAACCTGTGCAGTAGTCATCTTCGGAGTCAAGTGAGTTGTATCACGTCAGTTTATGGTATAAAACTCTGGTTATTGACCTGATTGGTCAACTAAGTTGCGATGTTATTGGTCGTCTGTCAGTTAATTGACCAGTCTGGTCAATAACCAGAGTTTAATACCATCAACTGACGTGATACAACTCACTTTGACTCTGAAGATAACTACCGCAAAGGTTGTCAAAACGCCAGTCACTGTCAACAACAACAGACTACAGTCCTATTCAGGACTACATTCACCTGGACGATCATACTCAACCTACTTATCAAATGACTCCTGGGTTCAAACCTTTCACAGTTATACAAAAAACAGGTGATATCCAGCTTACTGATCATCAGCAACCATGTACTAACTTAGAAAAATAGTTTATACATGTTGTATGTGACAGAACATTATTAAAACCATTTTCTTAAGACACTTACAGATTCTGATGAGCCTTGTTCTTCTGCGGTATCTTTCTTTGACTTCTTGTGCTACAAATAGTCAAACATTTTAAGAATTCCTATCCTAAAAGTTCATGAGATGATACCAAAACATCAACACTCCTCCATTTTCATTATTCACATCAATATGTGTGCAAATGCTGAATTTAACGTATGTATAATTCTTAAGAGACAGTCTTTCCTTTCTGATAATACTTTGTTATTAAACTAGATTATTTTTCAGATCACAACAGAACAATAAAAGACAAGTTTTAAAGTTAGTTGAAAAAGGTGGGGGATTTTTGGGTTGGAATAAGAAATTTTTATAAATGTGTTAAGCAGGGTTTTTTTTGACCAATTTTCATGTATGCATTTATTTGTGGGTATATTATATAAAAAATGAACCAAAGTAAATAAGTAAACAAGGATGATGATGATGATGATGAATTGAACTCTGGAGTCTACTGTGAACACAGGGTTTGTACAGACCTTTGGACCCAAAATTCCAGACTTTTTTCAGGCTTTTCTAAAACAATTTCCAGATTCAAGGTTATCAAATACATGTAGGTCTTTACACTGTTTTTGATGCCACCTTGACAAGTAGGCAACCATGTGAGAAATTACAATTAGAATTAACTGTTGACTAATTTCCATAAAAAGGCTGTTGTGAAAAAACATGAATTGTAAACTAATGCTACACAGCAAACGATCTTACTAACAAATTTTGGGGGCCATTCCTGTGCTCAAATTTCTCCAGATGCTTGCTTTAGATTCTCCATACATATCTACATGTAAATACATAAAGGTCTGCAGTTTTTCCCAGGAAATGTTAGTTGGCAGGAAGAGAAATTTTTACAGACAAATGTATAGAAAGTTTTAAAGTGGTTCTAGCGCTTGTAGCTGCATGTAATGCCCTCAAATGTTTTTCAATTTCTGTAGAATCGTTAAGAGTGAGGCTTTAGTTTACAATTTCTTTCAGAGCAGCTGTTTAACAGAAATATTATTCGACACTAGATTCTCATGCAAACACTGTTGCCCCACGCTTCAAGTTGGCATCGAAAACTGTGATAAGGCCTATTGGTAATAAGTACAGACCTTAAAAAATCAAGAACAAAGCTTTTTTCATGATTTACACAAACGTATGAGCAAAATTGAATAAGATTCGACCAAAAGGAAAAAATAGTCACTTAGAACGCACTGTACTTGTTGCAGCATTCAAAAAAAGAACTTTAGACTTTTTACCATTTTTCAAGGCTTTATCTCTATTTTCCAGACTTTTCCAGGTTTGAAAAATTACTGGGCAAAATTAATTTCAAGACTTTTTTGAGAATTCAAGACTCTGTATGAACCCTGCAAACAACTCCAGCCAGTGTTCAAGGTGGGACATGAATTCAGAGCAAGTCTGATGCTCTCACTATATTTTTACACTGCCCCCTAAAAAGTACATTACAATGTACCATATTATTCGTTCAAACTATTTCTAGCCCACAGCTAATTCATCATAACCACCAAGCATTCGCCAAATTTGGAACATGTTTGACAGTACAATAAAAAATTAAGTCACTTTTACTGTCGGTCAATCAGACTGAAAAAGAGATGACAGAAGGTGATATAGCTGAGCTTATTTCCCATAATTTTGCAAAGCAGAAATACAGTAGCTATACTAGTTCCAGCTGAAATTATAACAAAAGCAGCAAGAAATAATACTACTCGGCAGATGACGACTGCTGCCATGTTTGAAGAACATCCCTTTAAATTCTGAATTTTCCGAGTCATGAAGACAGGAACTACATGTATCCATCAATAAACTCAAAGTACATGTACATTGCAAGCATGGAAAAGTTGGAAATATTTGAATGAATAATAACACAATTATTGAATTCAGCTTTCGTATGACATGAAGAATTATGCAGATTGATTTTGAACCCAATAACTGCTAAAGACAAAGATACACAGAAGTATACATGTATGACTCATATACGCAGTGTAGTACGGTGTATGTACATGTGCATTACAATAATTATTGCACAATAGACAAAAGTGCACAGGTCAGATTGTTGGACTGTTTACCTTTATGCAAGACACAGCCCAAGCAATGTACAATTACTGTACTTTTCTTAGTTTTCTTTTTGAAAGCATATAAAGAGGCATATTAAAGGCATGTTAATATATATACATTATTCAATATAAACAATAACTCTCACCTTTTTCTCTTTTTTGGACTTTTTTTGCTTCTTGTCTTTTCTGTGTTTTTTCTTCTTTGACGTGTTCTTGTAAAGACAAAAACAAAAACATGCTCAGTATGCACATTCAATTAGGCTACTATTTTAATAACTTAACCTTGAGTTTTCTATTTCTAACCAAGCAGTTGAGGAATACGTTACAGGACAAAATCATTTTCAACCTAGGTTGAATCTCAATAGAACCTTCCTTAGTAAACTCACCAAGTTTGAAAGTGATGTTTGGGGTCAAGTTTGTGCCCCCCACCCCATCATACAAACGTCTGTAAAACTCCACTTGATCAATAATAGAAAGGCTCTGCATGAATCAAGCATGTGCTACATTTTGCTTGGAAACAGTTTCCAATCTAGGCCTTTTATGTAATAGCCATGAGCTTGGTGCATTGGCTCACACTGAAAAAACCTGTTTGATTTAATAGAGAAAACAAGATTGACTAGTTCAGGCTATGGTGACTTCAAAGACTTGATGCTCTTTATTAGCTGTTAGCACCACCGGTCTCTTCTCTATAACACGTAGGTTAGCGATGGAATTTTTTCAATTTTTTTTTTAAATCGCTGTGTGTCACATATGTGACCCTCCATATGATTTCAGGGACAAAGGTTATAACACACTCACAACATGCTTCCACTTAAAAACAAAAGAAATTGACTTTAACACGCTTACAAAGCATGCTAGAGCACACTTTAATGAGCTTGTGCTTTTGTCTCACATAACACACTAAAAACAATAAAGGGTGAGGCAATCAGATTTAAAATTGCCCCTTCATGTGAACTTGTGACATGTTGAGTGCACGGGAATTTCTTTGTGGTTTGTCTTAGTTTCATTGTGGAAATGAGGTCAAACAAAGACACAAGGTACAAACAAACAAATTGTAGACCTGCCTATATGCTAGACAGAATAGATATTTGGTCTAGATTTTGAAACCTTTGCTGTTCTGTGATGAGAACTTGACCCACACGTTTCATTAAAGTGAAGCGAGTTCAAATAATTCACCTGAAGGGTTCTTTACGGTTGACAAAATGACACAAAACTTTCCACTTAAAGTCAATGAAACATCTATGTATCACTGTGTGGCTTGAATGAAACACGCAGTTGTCTTGTTTTGCAGACTTTTTCTTCGCCTTCTTATTAGAAAAAACAACACAATGGCAAATGCCATGAGGAGCGCCTTCCCCATTTTGTTTTCTTTACTGGATGTACAGTAATGTCATTATGTCGATGTTCACATAAATTGCGACATACACCTGTAAGCATCTTATCTCTTATGTCGTTATGTCGCAAGTGTGAACCAGGTTTAACACTCCACGGTACTACAACTTGAAACCTCTTGCCAGCATTGTGCAACTTTTAATAATGGAACAGTGTACGCAATTATTCTGTTCTAGGAACTTTATCTTATCAGCACTACCAGCTGACTTCGCCGGCACATGATGGAATACAATCAAATATAATAGTTTGCATTAAAATCAAAGCTTAGGGAAGTCACTGTGAGACTTAAACTGAAGGTGAAAGAAAGCAGTGAGCCCATGATTATTGAAAACAACAATAAAACCTCCACAAGGAGGAAAGGGTGGGAATGACAAAACTTTAGGACGGTTGAAGTATTACAACTTAGCAATACAGGATGAGACAGGATTTTTCCTAGGCTTTCTATAGTCAGACTGCTATCCGAGGGATGTACCACTTAATAGAACGTGAATTTTCATACTACACAGTACTTTTACCTACTACGAGTAAAACTCTACCAGTTGTGATAAGGGCTGGTATAACATTGCATTACATGTTGGTGATTGAGGGCATAACACTCCATTAACTGCATTTTACAACTGAGTTGTAAAGCTTTCTCTATGGTTCTAAAATTTGTTTAGACCTCTGTTTAAAAGTCATGTTCAAAAATTAGGGTTGGCCACATGACAGGGGTGAACCATGTTTTGTATTCACAATTTTCACATAGACCATAATGCACCTTGTTTACCCCCCAAAATTATGTATAACCACAGAGATTCCAACCCTTCCGTTCTGGCTGGAAAACCTTCCACTTTCGGCGAATATTTCCGGCCTCCCATTTTCGCTTAATATTGTCCCAGGTTTTGAAACTTTTCCAAACCAAAGAAGGATTAATGCTTTGTGCAAAAGGTCTTTTTAGCATGATTCTTTGCCCTTTTCCTGTTGTTTCTCAGCCATTTTTATACCTTTTGGCATCCGAGCATGAACCTGCAACAATTTTGGATCTCACCATGCAGAAAATAGCATCTTTGAGGTATATGTTGTAGTTAATTTTTTATCTCAGGTAATTTTTATTTTTCTTTTGTTTCAACTTCATTAGCATAGATTACCATACCCAGAAACAAAAGAAAAATAAAAATTACCTGAGATAAAAAATTAACTACAACATATTCATCATTTTCACATAGTCCATAATTCATCTTGTTTACCCCCCAAAATTTTGTATAACTGTTGTTTCCAATTTCTCCTGGGTATTACAGTCGTCCCAAGAGAAATAGAAGACGATCGTTACAGAGATTCAAACCCTGTCAACTGAAAAAAGGAAGGTTTTAGGAGCGGCATAGCCACTCCCACAAGCGCCAAAGGCACAAGCCTCTAATGGGGTCTGGGGGCATGCTCCTCTCTGAAAAATTTTAAGATATATATGTTGTAGTTAATTTTTTACCTCAGGTAATTTTTATTTTTCTTTTGTTTCTGGGTATGGTAATCTATGCTAATGAAGTTGAAACAAAAGAAAAATAAAAATTACCTGAGATAAAAAATTAACTACAACAAATACGTCCCTTAATACCTTTTCATTATCGTCGACTTCTGCTAGTCTCTTGCTAAGAGAAGGAAGCATCCACGAGCTTTCACCAGTTTCTTTCCGCCGTTCTTTTTCTCTCTGCTCTCGTTCATAATCTTGCTTCGCCTTCAAAGTAAAGGATATTCAATTAAGACTTTCAGTTAAGCAGTTGAAGTTCCCTTCAAGCTGTAAATGAAATTTTAAAGTTACATGTTTTGACCATTTTTCGAAGGTTCCACAGTACGTGAAAACGACCTTTACCATGACAAAATTCCGCATGAGATGGATTAGGTTACCTGAAAATATAAAAAGAATAATAAAATTTCATCAGGACTTGCCTTTTTGAGGATGTCTTCCCTTGCTTTTCGTCTCTGTTCTTTTTTAGCGTCAATTTCTCTCTTAGAAACAAAGTTGATCAAGTCCGCCATCTTGAAAAGTAGATTGGATGGTTGCTGACCGATTTACTAAAGGCTCAACAATACAGCAAGGAATCCTGGTTAGTCTTTCTGCGGAAAAAAATGGCGCGCGAAATGGCGGAGTTTTCAAATGTTATCGCTGACAATCAAAACGATATAGTACACATTTTAGAAAATGCATCTCACTTTAATGACGCTGATAGCGGGTATCGCCACGTCATGGTCAGAGATATCCAACAGAACACTGATGTTTCGGCATGCCATGTGAAAGGTACACGTATATGTTTAAGTTTCGCTAAAATTATTGATTAGAATATATGGTCTAGAATTTCGAATACAGTCAAATATGACTGCATTACCCGCACCATTTAAATGGGACGATCTGCTCAATCCGGTTTTTCAGTGGGTCCGGCCTCGACGATAATTTTGATCCAGAGATTCCAACCCTGTCAACTGGAAAAAAGGGAGGTTTTAGGGGCGGTTACTACTTCGGTGGGGTAACCCGCCTGTCCGTACAATCTCTTCTGTTAATTTGATCGCGTTTGCATGATAGGTGGGGTGACCATATGAGACATTACAAGGCGGGTTACCCCACCTAAACGAGTTACCTCACCCACCTGGGGTCCCCCTCCTCCATGCATCCTCCTCAGGAGGGAGTCATAAACTCCTTTTGAGATCACAGTCAATTGAAATACCGCACTCCAAATTATCGCAGACTCATGCTCAGATGTCAAAAGGATAAAAATGGCTAAGAAACGACTGAGAAACCACAGAAAAACGGCAAAGAATTGTGCTTGAAAGACTTGTTAAACAAAGAAAACAAAGAGTTTCAAAAACTGGTAGAATATTAAGCGAAAATGGGAGGCCAGAAATATTCACCAAAAACAGGAGGTTTCTACCTGGGAATCTCTGTTGATCAGCCCTAGGGGTTGCTCAAGGAGAGACGTCTGCTGACCTCCGATGATTTTCTTATCACTCACATGCACTGGAGTTGCCTTAACAACTAGTAAGGTTTTAGTTACATGCGTTATAACTTATAGAACTGATTTGTGTGATAACACACGTGGGCTCAGAACTTATCAGTGTACAGTCGCAGCAGGGTATATGCATCCCAGGGGTGTGTACTCTGGATTTCAAGTGACAGGGATGATCAAAGGAATTTTCGGGTTTGAAATTTTCATTTTCAGGTTTTTTGGGGGGATAAAAATTTGGCAATTATTTATTTGGGTGGCTTGATTTAAGTAGGGATTTTATGGGGGATCCAAAACAGTCTGAAGATTTGTGGTAGTACCCACATATCCTGCCGGCTTATTTCTTTGAATAAAGTACAACCAAACAAAGTACATGTTGTCATTTAATGCTTTTTAAAAATTTTAAGGCTCAGAAATTTAGCATGGGATTTTTTTGGGGGTTAAGCTTTGGTCCAGGGATTTTTTTAGGTTTTGTTGGAATCGCTAGGGATTTTTTTGGGTTTGGATTTTTGCCACCGTTTGAACATCCCCATCACTTGAAATCCAGAGTATCTTCCTGGGTATATGCTTTCCACATTAAAAAAAAACTTGTTTGAAAACCAATCAGTTTTGACCACAAATATGGGTGGCAGCGGCATGGAAGAATGTGTCAGAGGCTGGTAGAGTGCTCTGGGGGTCCCAAGGCTAACCCCCCTGGGCCCCTACCTTAGAGTAGTCTGGCTACTGGTACCTACTTGTAGCACAGGCAGACCATACTCTGTTAACATGCCGATCCAAATCCATCAATCAGCCCATTGTGACTGTTGTCAGTTCAAAACTCCAATCTTGCTCTGACAACAGTTGTGATATGCTAATTGCTGGATTTGGATTGACACACATACCTCAAATGCCTTTGGTTGAGCATTTTGCAACAATCATGTTTGGAAAGCTGGCCTTAGAACTTCAGGATCGCTTTTTTTGAGAAATTTTGGAAGGACTGAGCTCTCACTATGAAGTTGATGAGGTCACGCACCACCAGCTGATTGCTGCCTGCTTTATTTTCTTCTTTACTTCACCCGATTTCCAATAATTTGAAAATAATGAACAGATACCATTTCAGTCTTGTTTTTAAAGGGACAGTTTTTACAGCAGTGCACCAGATTCGAGGAAAATCATGGATTTGTTATTCGTTTCAGGAGCACTGGCAGAGAGACATGGACATGAAAAATACATCTACACAAAGCTTGCTGAATTAAAAGTAAACACTGTCGTCAATGTGTATGGTGTGGTTAAATTTTTTAAGAGCCCTTTTAAGACCAAAGGCTCTGATTTTGTGTGCACCTTGAGTTTAGTGGATCCATCACTGCCTTCTTTGGATAGTTCTTTTAAATGTGTATTATTTTCCAAGTCAAAGGAGGGCTTGCCTTTGGTCAAGGCTGTAGGAGATGTAGTTCGTTTTCAGCATCTTGGAGTTGGTCATTATCAGGGTGAGCTTCAGGGAAAATTCACAGCAGATTCTTCTTGGTAAGTTTTAATTAACCACGGATTTTGTTATCTCTGCATCCCGGGTCCCTGACGAAAATAATTCAAGAAATGCATCCCCATAGTCCGATGCAAAGAACAGTAACTATTGATCGATTTGAAGATTTTTTGGTAGAGTATCCTGTTATGTGATTTCTGTGTCTGTTGTTCAAAGATGCATATTTATTTTAGTCTTTTTTGTGCTTTAAATATATAGAAGGACTGTACTTTAAATTTAAAACTGTGATAACAAGATTTGTCATCCTTCGTTTTTCTTTTTTTTTTTTAACTGGGACTCAATGGTTACGGACAGGGACTCACGATTTTTCACAAGATGAATCCCAGGACTTGTAACAAAATCACTGATTAACCCTTCAAATGCTAAGAGTGACCATGAGCGGGAATGATAATTCTTTTTTTAATATTCTTCCAGCAATGTCCCTACATCATGAAAGGAAAGGTTATCAGAATTTACAGTAAATGTTCACTTAAGGGAAAAAATGCTTTTATCTTTTATCAAAAGAAAGAGGATGGGAAATTGGATAGAGATCACAGGAGTATTATTAAAAGGAAGGTGGGAAACACTTTCATTTGGTCAGTGATAAAAAGCTTGATTGACTAGAACTGATTACTTGTCTTGCTCTTTCACCCATATATTTTTGTTCTTGTGCCGCCCACCCTCCCTCCCCTCCCCCTCCATGTCCTCCCTCCCCTCCCTTCTCCATTTCAAGCACTGGCCACTCAGCAGCAAGGGAATTTTTATTATTGTTTTTTCAGGGTTGTGTTTGACATAAACAGCTCAGACACGCCACAAGTGAGAGCATCCTCATTAAAGTCATACAATTTGACCGATGATGAAAAAAGTGTCCTCGAAGAACTACAGGCATGGAGTGCACACAAGGAGGCTCTTAACAAAAAATTCTCAATCACCAATCTGAAAGATCTAAGTACCACTCACCATTTCATAAACTTACTTGCTCAAGTGGTAGCCATAAGGTGGACAGAAAAAGGTGACATAGTCTTGACATTATGGGATGGATCCCTTCCCACCTGCCAATCAGTACTGGTTGATCCAATCAGTGAACATGGGCAAGTCATGTCTGATAAACTCATGCGTAAAGCATCTAAGCGCTGCATTGATGTAATTCTCTATGACAACCATGTCCGAAGCATTGGTACAAAGGTCTGCCCTGGCGATTTTGTTTGTATCAGGAATGTACATGTTAAGGAGAGAACAGCTGACTGCAGCATTACAGTACATAATCCTCAGGTAATTTGTGGCAGTAAAAGGTACAATTTACGTAACTCACCTATTGATGCAAGTGCATTGGATTCCCATTGCCGAACGCATTAAATTTATTATTATTATTTTTTTAACCTTCAAAGGCCTTCATGAGCTATCCGCTTCCTACATGAAAGAACTTCTAACTCTGTATTGTCCTGCACACATGCTTCAGTCATCATCTTCCTCACTTTTAGCCCGGACTGATTATAACAGTGAGGACCTGTGGTGCCAGGGCGTTTGCCATCTCCGCCACTGAGCTTTGGAATCAATTACCTGATGACATTAAATCTATTGCCAATTTAACAATTTTTAAATCAAAGCTTAAGACCTATTTTGTTAATATCACTTTCAAGAATTAATTTTTGATAAATTTCATTTTATTCATTTTTTTAATTTTTTACAACGGAGTGAATATTGTGTAAAAAGCATACAGCTTCTGTATATAAAGTGTTATACAAATGTACAATTATTATTATTATTATTATTATTATTATTATTATTACAATTCACCTGTCTATCTCTCTAACCTCTTGGCTATTCATCATAGACAAGTGGATTTTGTTGCTGGGCAAATAAATTTACAGCTCGGGTAAGGGTCTGGGCAAGTCATCCTCTACCAAAAGAGAGCTTAAGCAACAACGAAGGCGATGGCTACAAAAACGTCACTTAAAAAGTGAATTCGTACCGCTTCAAACTTTATCGCGCTTATTCCATCTCGTTTACTTCGTCAAATGTTGGCAAATGTTTTTGGAGTTGAATTCTAAAGGACTGTATCAAAGTTCAGGAAAAGAAAAGAAAGTTGTTGTCTTGTGTTCCCGTCCTCGAAAAAACTTGAATTCAGGCACTTTCACGTTGTAGTCGGGCAACGACGGCAAAGAAATGCACCAAAAAAGCGCGATGCACGCGCAAAGTTGTTATTTTGCTAATCAAACCTATTGCTTTTTTGCCGTTCTCGTTGCCGTCCGCGTCGTCGTTGCTTAAGCTCCCTATTAATATCATTGACTACTTGACGAGCGAGAAGTGGCCCCAGGCAAGCAAAATGTAAGAGCTGCTTGCCCAAAGGACAAGATGGAAATCAAGTATTTTTCGAGCCATGCGATCACCTACTCTTCTGTCAGTGCAGCGGTTTTCACTTAAACCTTTGGGTTATGAAGCTAGATTTACACATACATAAACCTCGCCCCATCTACGAGTCTCCCGTCCAGACTCTAGCATCAGTTAAAAGAACAAGCATGGGAAAATACTCTTCGAAGACATACAAGTAAATAACTACTCTATTAATTTTTTGGGCACTTCAATGTCACGGTCTCTTTTTCCGAATGTGGCCGCTTAATAGAAGATTGCGTTTTTGTGACTGCATTATTACAGTGCATGTTATTTTTAAGACTATTTGCCATTGTGAGTTTGAGGGTAAAATGTCGTCGTATTGTGGCCCGCGGGAGTTTAGAGAGCATGCAAACTCAGCGTGGTCACTTGTTTGCAGACCTCGTACATGTGCTTAACGTCAATGCAAAAATTGTCTTATCCTGCGTAGCAAGCGTTTCCGCGCGAGTTCGTCCAGAAAGTTTTGCGCTCTCTCCAGCTTTTCGCGCAATAAATCGATTGGAAGCGCTTGCAACGCAGTCTAAAACTCTCTAGGGTATAATTTTTACTCTTTTTTTTACAACTTTAATCTCCTCTTCTAATTTACCCTTAAAACGTGCGTTAATCAATGTATTGCTGTCTTATTTTACTTGCAGTTAGCAGAGTCACGTCCTCTTGTAAGCCTAGAAGTCCACACGGGTACCATTTGTGGACGCGGTGTTGAAATTGTTTTAGCCAACGACCCTCAAGTGACTTCAAGTGCAATGATGGCATTCATGACCAAAGCAGAGGAATTAATGATACAGCAGGAGGAGAGTGATGCTATGGACACCTCTGAAAGTGAAGGGAACAAAATAACGACGACACGGCCCTTGGATCAGTGCTTTGAAGTACAGGAAAACAGTAGCGCCGGTGAAGAGAACTGTCAAGGTATAGCCCCTGTTCACAATATTGAAAGCCAGGCTCTCCAAACTTCAATGAATCCACAACCTCTGGATCAGTGTGGTGAAGTACAGCAAAAGTCTAGTAGCGCCGGTGAAGAGAGCTGTCAAAATATAGCCCCTGTTCATAATATTGAAAGCCGGGCTCTTCAAACTTCATGCACAATAACCGAGCATCCCTGTATTCCATTCATGTCTATACGGGACATCAAAGCATGCAAAACGGTTCCTAACAAATTCCGCTGCAGAGTTAAAGCTGTGATATTCTTGCCATCGGAAGTGAAAGACTTTGTGCGAAGGTGCTGCCAATCTTGTAGATGCATGTATAGAGATTGCTCTGGCTCTTCCAGAGCGACTGGTGCTTCAGAATCATCTGTGCTATGTACCAAATGTAACCAAGAGACAACTCTAGTCTATCTGTTTTCCTTTGTTATTGAAGATAATTCGGGAGTTCTCCAGGCCATGGTCTTCGACAAGGATGCCGAGACTTTCTTTCCAAATCTTCCTTCACCACAAGATTTGGTAGAGCAGACTACTTCCCAGCATCTTCTGAAAGAATGGATGTTATCTATGACCCAGAATCTTGAAAACTCGCTTAAAATTGTTGCACCTAACCAGTATGACATAAGACCGTGGCTAGAACTTTGTATCTTATCATATATTCCTGAAAATCAAGGTCAAGGAAAAGTCCTCTACCGGGTGTTTGATTCCACATTTGTTGGAGATTCTTAGTGAATTACACGTTTATTGAGAGCTGAATTGGTATTCGTATTTACGTGAAAAGGCTCAGTTTGTTCATTCTAATTGAGTTTAGTTTCGTGATACAGTAGTCGGTATAGAGGCCAGTGCTTGAACGTTGTTATCATAATTACTCATAAAGATCTTGCAGTTTAGACGCTGTGACTGTGAAGAGACCTTTAAAATCGAAGACGAGTATGACTACGAAGACGAAATTTTCTCAATACTGAGGACACAGTCATAGCCCGTTAATACGGACACTGAGGGGGCCATAGATAGTGTTCATTTAGAGAAAAATGTAAGAACTTTCTTTCCCCACGGACCAAAAAAAACTCTCTGCAGGGTTCGCACAGGTCATGGAAAACCTGGAAAGTCGTGAAATTTAAGAATTTCATTTACCAGGCCTGAAAGGTCATGTAATGTTATTGTCAGTCCTCGAAAGACATGGAAGTTAATGTTATGTTTGGTGGTTTAGTTACTGTAGAATGTCAACTCAAAGCAAGGACAATGTAAAATTGCGACACAGGCCTGTAGGGAGGGGGTGGGAATGCGATGGGTGGGCTCGCACATCACCCCCCCCCCAAAACAGGCTCCAGAGGTCCACAATTATTGTTGGCACACGATTTATAACAACGTAGATTTGCGATACAGTGCCCACAATGCAATTGCAATCGTCCTCAATTTTGCGACAGTTGAACAGTTTAACATAGTTTGTGAGAAAAGGGGCCGAAGAGAACAAGAGGAAAGGCCCCTGCCAGATTTTGTCAATCCATAAATACTTCTGTTCGAAAGGAAACTGAAGGTGCCATTGATGAAGATTTTCTGGCTGCAGGCGCAAATCAGAACTGAGTCTCTTCATTTAATAATCTTGCAGATAAATCTAAAAGTTAGCGATTACTGGGCATAAGAAAAGGGACGTTCCAACGGGAGTGGCCTATCAGCGCGCTGTCATTAAGTCAGATTTCTCTACTTTCTTGTAACTAGAAAAATACGACTTTCATGCACTATGTAAAAGACATTGATCTGGAAGAAGTCGTTTTGTCTACTGATGATGGTATTTATTTTATGTGAGACTCGCTGGAGTAACAGTAACATTAACAGTGTCTTCTTTGTGCGTTACTCTCCATATGGAGGTATCGGTCTGTTTACAATAAAGGTCTTTTACATTTGAGTAACAATAACGTCTGACTAATGATTAGTCTGCTACACAGCCGTTTTTAGTGTCATCACGCAACGCTCCTCCCCACTAACTAATGTACGCACCATAAAATCATCAAAGATTTTCTATCAAGTTACATTTTCAGTCGAATTCTTGAAAACCTCTTTTTGAACATAAGATTAATATATTTGGCTATAATTTTACAAGTATTATTGTTGTCTGCTGTTAATTAATATTTTATTCCGTCATGGGCAGTAAGATTCACAAAAGCAACATCCTCATTTGAAATGAAATTAATTAACTCCTGTCGTAATACATTGCACCCATTGCAAAACATCAAGAAGTGTTGTTCATCTTCGACTTGGTTTTGTTTGCAAACCAAGCACGTTCTGTCTTCTACAGGTATGGAAACGCTGCCGATTTCATATTTTCCAGTTTGTATCCGTGTTGAACTTGAGGAAACACAATTTTGGTCATTTACAGTCAACTCCCGTTATAGCGGACACCCTCGGGACCGCGATTTGGTGTCCGTAAAAGCGAGAGTCCGTAATAGCGGGGTGCGAGAAAATTTTTATTTTAAACCATATTTACAGAAAGGGGTCACATGTGTGTTCATTTTCATTAACTCCAGTACCTTTTTCAGACCCGTTGTCGCAAGTAAAGAGTGTCAGAACTTTATTAACAAACAGAACAGAACTTAACAGAACAGGCCGTACCCTTTGTGTACAGTGTAGTTCTTCTAAGTACGTAAAAAACAATCATCGTATGTTGCAGCAATGTCCACACATGCATCGTTTTGGTTTCCTGCTGTACTGAAGTACAGTAATCTACATTTCTAAAAAAAATTATTTTCAAGGAAAAACCTGAACATCAGTTACTGATCGCATCAGCTATCACATTGCCTTAAAATATCGTTCCAATTGGCTCTGTGTACTTCTTTGAATTGCAACTTCCCCCACTTTGTCGCCAAGGAGACTAAATTCATTAGCAACCTTAAACTCCTCTATGAATCAAAAAAGCAGAAATGTTTTGGACACTGTCTAGAACGTCCTTGAAACTTTTCAAAGTGGTTGTTTCGTTTGAACGTTCGCCTTCACCTGGGGTATCTTCTTTTTTCATTTCATTCACGTCGTCACTCTCTATTTCCATGACATCGTGAGAAGTACCAATCGCTTCCACAGCTGTTGCTCGGTAAGAAGACTGTAACAGGTTGGAAGTTCGTTATCGGACTCCAGGTAAGTACCGAAAAAAAAAGGGCTAACCACAAGGCAGCAGCAGAAATCTGTGGAAAACGGATCAATCGAGGATCTGGCTTGGGACTGGAACTTCCAGTTATTTATAAGATTTACGGCGGAAGGAAATATTTGGACAGGCTGGACGAACTTATTCATGGCAGCGAGACTGCAAAGAGGGCCTTAAGAGAAAAAGATGAAGGAATTTTGATTGATGGACAGAAGAAGCGGAAATCGACCAAAAAATACAAAGACAGTCTCAAAAAGCAGAAAAAATAGACTTGATATGTGTGCAAATATTCCAAGATGCTGCTTGGTGTCCGCTATAACAAGAGAGAAAACAATAAAATTGTCACGTTGGGACCGAATTAAGTGTCCGTAAGTCCGTAGTAGCGAGAGTCCGTAATAGCGGGAGTTTATTTCAGTCAAACGGCTGTAACTTTCGCCGGAGATTTTGCTGCTGTCCGTAATAGCAAGGTGTCCGTAATAGCGAGGTGTCCGCAAGGCGGGAGTTGACCGTGGCCAATTTTGGGAGCTGCTGGCTAACCGCAAGGCAGTTCTCCCACGCATGCGCGGAGAAGGCAGACGGGTCACCCCTGGGTCACTCCTTGCTTTTAGTTTTTCGTGCACCGCCCGACCGAGCAACCGACCGTCTGTCCGCACCACAGCAGGTATGGCAACCCAAATGCAACTCGAGGTTATTTGGACGGGAAATCGCATAGCCACCCGAGTCTTGTAAAAAAGAGAGACAACTAAAGAGTCAATAAAGACGAAAACGGAAAGCAGAAATTGTTTCTCTATCCGTGTTGTCTGAAGTATTGTAATACTTCTCCAAATTTTTGGACGTGACAATTAATCTGAGCTTAAAAGCTTAGATTAATTGAATTTTCATTCCCAAAAAATTGGAAAATAGAGCAAGAGAAAGACAGAGAAAAAGAGAAAGTAGGCGGCATGCTAGCGAAGCTCGATCAACGAGAAAAAGGGCGACAGAGACCTACAGCGAGAGATAAACAACAAAGGAGACATTTTTTTCGTTACAAGAACAACATGACAATTTTGTAGCTGCGGTGCGAAAATAAGAAATGCTAGCAGCCACCAATCCAAGGTGAAAATGAGCGGCAATGCAAAAAAAGTGAACGAGAACACGTACGACATTTCCTCCACAAAGCGTGTAACCAAGAAGTTTGTGGAAGTTCAGTTGTAGTCGTGCAAAACAACGGCAAAAAAATGTACAAAAAAGTGTGCTGCACGTGCAAAGTTGCTTTTTTGCTAATTAGACCTATTGTTGTTTTTCACCGTTCTCCGGCGTTGCCTTCGCAGCTTAGCATTACACGAGTTTATATATTTTTTGAACAAACTATAAATATGAAAAATTAAAAACAAGATATACATGTAAAATGTAGCAACGGCAGTTTTTCTCAGCCTTGCGGTATTTGCCATGTCTCCATTCTGATCTACTTGTTCAGGTACTTGTAGAGCGCGAATCTGGTTTGTGTGGTGTCTTTCGGCTGCGTATATCTTGCAATAAAGCATGCAATCCTGTAGTTACGATACAAACAACTGACATCACGGACAAAACACTTATCGATTCATACCAGAAGCAAGCAATTACACTGAACACCCAGAATGAGATCACTACAGCAACAACCCGTTTGTGAGTCACAAGTTTCTGGTATCTGAGATTGTGAAGATGAATGACCAAGAATCTGTCAACAGTTATCGCGAAAACACCAAAAAATGAGGCAAAAACAAATAAACTGTGAGGGAAGGCATATGCTTTAACAACAGCCCAATAAGCAATAATGTTGTCAGTCTTTGTACTGTTTTTAGTTATTTCCATCGTAAGATATGCAACATAAAGTGGCTGGATAAGAAAACCTACACCTAGATCAGAAATACACAGTCTTAGAAGCAGCGACTCAAACGTCTCAGACGTCTTAGACGTCCTCTTGACTGGTATAAATACAGCCAATGGTATAAGAGAGTCCCTGAAACGCACTCATAACATCTAAAATTTCAACTTATCTGAAATTAAAAATGTCTGTGCAATGCTCGGGGTTCCCCTCATTGCCACAGAAATTTGAACATATCTTCCTTTTAACAGAAACACGAAAGGTCGAGCTTTGTAGGTGTTGAGAGTTCGTCAGTCAAATGGAAGAAAGTTACTTGAACTACTGACGCAATATTAAATTGGAAAAGGCAGTTGATTTGCAAAAGATCTCAAATAAACAGCCAAACAGAAAGAGTTTAGTGATAGTTTATAGGAAAAGCAGACTATTAGGTCGGACACCAATCCAACCTGTTTGCTGAACTCAAGTAAAAACTATGAAAAAGCACAAATTTTGATTAAATACGACTTACGACGAGTCTTAGGACTGGGGGTTCAGAAAAAAAAAACTTATTACCTATAAAAAAACCTTACTAGCTAGGGTTTTAAAACAAAGACACAGTGGGTAGTTACTTGACAAATCATTCGGTCATGTGTCTAGCCTGCGATCATTGCACTCTCCCTTTATCTCTGTTTACGGGAGGAGGGCATGATACATTTCTTTCACAGATCACATGCAAAAAAGCCAGGATCTAGACTTTTTCCTGATTGGATAGGAAACAATACGGATGATTTGCACCGTTCCGATTGGCCAAAACGCCGCCATCCGTTAGTTGCTTTTGATTTCAGTCTGCATTTTGCTTGTGTAATGAGCAGTTAATACACACGCGAGTTCGTTATGAAATTTCTGCCAACTCAGTTTTCTTGAATTTGAAGAATGTCTAGATAGAAATTTCTCCCATTGAAATAATTTCCTTTTCATTGTTTACTAAAAATTGCTGTCATTAATTAATTCGCCGATCATTTGAATGCAATTTGATACCGGCTACAAGTTACAGAAGCGACAAACGGGTTCACTTTTCAAATAATCAATTCATGAATGGAATCTCGACCTGATTTGACTGAAGTTTCTCCTTCAGAAACCTGCGAATCAGTCTTAGCGATCTTCGCTTTCACAGCACTTTTCAGTTTATGAAATATGATGCTCCAGCTTAATTTTTTTTTCACTGCTCTCGCCACAGAACGAAGTCAACGAGCTTGTAAATTCTTTATTATTTGTAGCTGTTAAATAAAGGTAAAAAAAAAAAAAAACATTTAATTTTTTTTTAGGAAGCGTCATCTGCACGTACTTAAAAATTTTCTCTTCCCTAAAATTGATTTCGGCGAAAGAGACATTATTCCCACAAAAATTTGATTCCCGTCTGGTAACCGCTGATTGGCTAATAACATGACAGGTCAAGCGGACGTTAGATTATGTAAACTAGGGGGCGGTTGATGGCTTGTTAAATGAATGTATCAGGCGTTATTTTTTCCCTCTCGCGCCAAAGAAGCAAAGAAGCAAATAATAATAATAATAATAATAATAATAATAATAATAATAATAATAATAACGCCTGATCTCAGGTTATATGTGTCAGACTTGATCATTTGCAAACGATCATAACGTTTAAAACATCCATTGTAGTCTCATCTTAATGAAACCAGCCAACACCAGGTGACAATTCAATCAGTAATCATGTTCCAAAAAAGCAATATATGTTTTAAGCTACAATCAACTCAGAAAGTATGTTTCAATTTCATTTTATTAAAAAAGTATTCAAGAACAATATACTGTCATGCTTTATTAACTTAATGGACGGTGGCATTAAATTCATCCGAGACAGCTATCAAAACGTCAATCATCTTATCTCTAATAAAGAAAGTTCATCATTGCTCGCAATTTAATGCGCATTTAATAAACAAGACGATATTTTCTCGGGCGTGAAGTTTTTTCACCCGAGGGTTCGCTCAACCAACCAAAAGCTAAGCGGGTTTGTATCCGTTCATCGATAAACCAATCAAATGGCTTTATTTCGGTTCGTTTGTTGTTTCTGTTTTGTTCGCGCGTTTTCTTTTCAAGATCATACGAAAATGCTCTATTAACAGCAGCTGGTTGCAATGAATCGCTAATACAAAGTCATACACAAAGAAAGAGTTTAACGATGGTTTATAGGAAAAACCGACTATCACGTCGAAGACCAATCCAATGTATTTACTTGACCCCGGCAAACAAAAAATATGGGGCAGACCTTTGATAAACAACGATCTATGACGAGTCAGAGGGAGGAGTCTAGATAAAAAATTTATTACCCATGAAACTTACTTGCTAGGGTGTTAAACAAAGACACAGTAGGTAGTTACTTAAACAAATCATGCTGTCTTGGACTGTCTTGTGTGTCAAAGTTTTATCAGTAGCAAGTAATCAGAATGTTAAAAATATCCATTGTAGAGTGAACTTTATGAAACCAGCTAACACGACGTGACAGTTCGATGAGTAAAAGCAATATATGCCTTGAACGACAATCGACTATTTCTCAATTTAATTTTATTGAAAATTTATCGAAAACAACATCATTGCGCGCAATTTAATGCGCACCAAATAAACAAAAAAACTCGCTTATTTCCTTGTAAAATGTCTTCTTATACACGTATACGTAAGGAAGTGGTAAAATGGTTTTTTGGATAAAACTGATGTCACAATAATTAGCCTCAACCCCCTCCCTGACAAATGATAAAATGTAAGACGTTAGAATTTATTGTCTTTATTGGCTGGCACATTTAGTGGTGGACCCAGAAGTTACATTGTTGGCCAAGAAAAAAAAACTTCAGCGTGTATGAAGCGTGCGTGTTGTATTGTGTTTTTCTTTGCGGTTAAAATTTGCTAAATGACAAGAGAATACTTTTCTTCCCTCCCTCCCTTGAAACAGAAATTGTGGGCGAACTTTCATGATTATGAAAGAGCGCTTGTAGCCACCAAACAGGAAAATTAATGTGTCGGAGAAAACACGTGTTAGTTTAAGAATAGTGGAAATATTCGATTTTGTAGTTTTTTTCCATTTTCACTTTGTTACCGTTGTTGTGTTATATATCATTGGTTACAATATTTACTTTTTTGGACTCGCTCGTTCTAAATGCCTATGGAAACATTAAGTACCGTCTCGTACAAAGTTTCAACTTTGTTGTAAACGCACGTACCGAGAGTTGCTTGCAAGGCGTTGAAGTCGGACATGAGGGAACTGTGTACTTAGGTTCAACCCTGGGCCTTATTCTTAATTATGGTTCTAAGTTTTTAATCTCAGAGCAAAAAGCTCTTTGCTTGATATTGGAGCCATATTATGACTGCTTTCTGGTTCCGTAATATGGTATTTTAGTATTATGATGTCATTCAGTTATCGATCATTTGTTCCAATCGGTTGCGCTGTGAGGAGAGTTCCTTCTCCCCCTGTCTGAAACTTTCAAATGTAGTGATCTTATTAGTAATTTCTGGACTCGACAAATTAAAAAAAAAACCCTGATTAAATGGTATATTTTTACCATTCTTCAAAACATCTTAACTTTTTCACGTGAACTTTATTGATATGAATCAATTACAAGTATTGTAATATATATTCTCAACAGTATAAATTACTAGTTTTCTTCTCTCTCAACAAATAGGCTGTGTTGTTCTTCTTCTCGTTATTATTCTTATTAGTATTATTCTTATTATTTTTATTATAATAATTATTATGTGTTGTTGTTATTGTTGTTGTTGTTATATCGGTCAATCTTTTCGCCACTCTTGGTTCATTCAGTATGCAAGATTTATTGACATAGTTTTGATCTCTCTCCTCTTTAGTTAGTTTTCTTCATTGCATGCACTTTGGCCTTAACAAAATCTAGTAAATTCACTTTACTGTACACAGAACTTTTTGCCCATGCAAATTTGGAAACTCGGCCCTCTGTTTATCAAGTCACTCGTTATTCGTCCTAAACTAACTGGTTTTTTCTCTTTGCCCTCTTTCTGACTTAGATAAATAATACTTTCAGAGTTTCCGTTATTTGTTAATTATTCCAAAGCAAACAGAAATCTAAAGAACTTATACTCACTAGCTCGATCATGTATTTATCCCTTTGCCTTCAAACAGAGAGTACAAGAGGTTTCAGTTCCCGTTTATATTTAGTGTCATTTTTCCAATTGTACTGCTGGAAAGCTAATATTTTCACCACTCAGAGAGAAAAAGGCCGATTAAATCAGTTTTCTCAGTTAGATCCTTTCTTTAGTGGGAACAAATCGCGAAAATATTTCGAAGTATATCCATAACAGTTTGTCGAATGTGTCTCATCTTCCAGCAGTAGATCAAGGGATTGAGGGATGAATTGAGATACACAAGAGTCAATGTGATATACCATAAATGAGATAACAAGGTAGTTTCACCATTGGTCTTGGCAAAAACAACACAAAAAAATGGCAAATAGCAAACTAAGTACACGAAATAAATGTAGAATGTAGCCAGAGAAGATTTTTTCAGCCTTGCGGCATTTGCCATATCTTCATTCTGTGTCGCCTGTTGTACTTGCAGAGCGTGAATCTGATTTGTGTGGTGTCTCACGGAAGCGTATATCTTGCAATAAAGCAATCCTGTAGTTACGACACAAACAACTACAATGACCGCTCGCATAATATCAGGACTTAGAAGGGAAATTGATGCACTAAACACCCAGAATGAGATAACAACAGCAACAACACGCTTGTGAGTCACAAGCTCCTGATATCTGAGATGAAGCTGAATGGCCAAGAATCTGTCCACAGCTAATGCAAAAACACCAAAATGCGAAGCAAAGACCAATGTTTTTGACTGGATTGAACGCGCTAACTTTACTGTAGGATAAGCAGTACTGTTTTTTTCCATCACAAGAATTGCAACATACAGTGGTTGGACAAGTAAGCCTACACCCAGATCTGACACAGCCAAGCTTAGTAGCAATGTTTTTAAAGTCTTAGGCAACGACGACGTTTTTCTGAGCGCTTGCATTGTCATGATGTTTAATACGATGGCGGTGAAAGACAAGAAAGCGTTGAAGAAGCAGTTAACAACAAGTGTCAAATTTAAGCCTTCAGCACTTGCCATCTTTTTTTTTTTTACATAACCCTAATCAGCGTTCAGTTTCTATAATATGCAAAGATCTGAATTTCATTGCTTTCTAGGTTTTATCCGTTTTTGAATGAGACTGACCTTCAGCTTCCACCATTGAATGGAGCGTCATATACAGTCTTAAGTTTCAGCAGCTGTACTTTTGAGGAACTATGCAAATGTTTTCTTCTTTGCACGAGACTGACGCTGGAAATTACTCTTTGCGAGACTTACTGAATATTCTCCAGACTTCCTCCTCCGATGGCAATTGGTTTTTAACTGTCCTGAGTACTGCTGAGTCTTCCGCGACAGCAGTAAAAAAAGGCCCTAAGTCGTGTTCACAATACCCAAACTCTCTTCTTGGTTGAACTGATTGAAACTTTGCATGTCTGAACCAGGAATTAAAACTTTAAATGTAACGTTATCATCACACAGTAATTAGTATAAATTTTCTTTCAAGCGAAACGCAATAGGTCGTATAAATGTTGAAGTTCGTCAGTTAAAAAGGAAGGAAGTTATATGAAACTAATGATGCAATATTAAATAAATAAGCAAAAGGCAGTTGGTTTTCAATCATGAATCGCAAACAAACAATCAGACCCCGTACAGAACGAGCTGAGAGGTGACTTGAGAGGAAAACGGAATTTTTACGTATTCGTCGCAAACCAATCCAACAGTATTTGCAGGACCCATGAACGCATTTTCTGATAAATTGCATGCTTACGGGTGACTTAAAGAGTGTGAGGCAGCCTAAAGATACAGCACCCTAGTCACTTAATAAATCATCTGTTCCTTAATAATTAGGGGCCGACCATTTAACTCTTGAGGGGGTGATTTTGAAAAAAAATTTCCTGCAAGCGCTTGTCGGAAGAAAAAAATTGCATGCAGCACAAATGTAATAAAGAGCTTAAGGGAAAAAAAGAGAAAAAAATATCCTGCCCACCAGATTGCTAGAAAAAAAAAATTCTTGATGACCAGAAATCACCCACCCCCACCCTCAAGAGTTAAATGGTCGGCCCCTTAGAGCAACTAATAAGATGCAAGTCGTATTATATAGCTTCAGTTTCTTCAGTTTAAAACACACAGGCTGAATATTATGTTTTTTCTGCCGATTTTAGGCTGAAAATATTTTTGTATTATAATTCTTTAATTGTATCAGGATAAAGTTCGTCAGTCAAATGGAAGTGAGTTATTCGAAACTATTGGCGCGATATCAAAGTAGAAATGGCAGCTGGTTTGTGGTGAATCGTAAACACAAAGTCAAACAGAAAAGAGTTAAGCAATGGTTTAGAGGAAATGCAGACTATTAAGTATGAGACCAATCCTACATGTTTGCTGGACTAAAGCGAAACAAACGCACGTTTTTTTAGTAACTCTGACAAACGACGAGTCTCTTGACATGAAAGAAGGAACTTGTTCCCCGTAAAAAAAATTACTAGCTAAGCTTAGACCTGCACAGTAGGTAGTTAGTCTCGCTTATGTGCGCGCCAGTTGTGGACACAACTGAACACTATTTTTTCTCCTTCTAATTAGCGAAAACCTTTCAGAAACACAAAGTTTTTCAGTATCAAATGCCAATACTCTTCTGGATTTTTCCAAATTGGAAATCCACATTTTAGTTTGGAAGGCGTTAAAAGCTGACTATTAGGTCGGACACCAATCCAACGTGTTTGCTGAACTCAAGTAAAAACTATAAAAAACGCCCAAGTTTTAATTAAATACGACTTACGACGAGTCTTAGGACTGGGGGTTCAGAAAAAAAAGACATTACCAATAAAAAAAACTTACTAGCTGGGGTTTTAAAACAAAGATACAGTGGGTAGTTACTTAAAAAATCATTCGGTCATATATGTGTCAGACTTGATCAGCTGCAAACGATCAGAACGTCTAAAACACCGGCCCATTGTCTGAGTCTCAGCTTAATGAAACCAGGCAACACCAGGAGGCAATTCAATGAGTAATCATATTCCAAAAAAGTAATATATGCCTTAAACTACAATCAACTCGAGAAGTATGTTTCAATTTCATTTTATTAAGAAAGTAATCAAGGACCATATACTATGCTTTATTAACTTACTTAATGGATAGTGGTATTAAATTCATCCGAGGCAGCTATCAAAACGTGAATCATATTTATTTATCTCCAGCTTTTTAGGTTAATATAAAGAAAGTTCATCATTGCTTGCAATTTAATGCGCATTTAATAAACAAGACGATACTTTCTCCCTTCATTGACACTTAAAGTTGTACTCGTAGCATCCGAAATATTCCCTTGTTTGGAATTAAAACAAGAGCAGAGCATTAAAACAGAGCCCGTAATTCATAATTTATAAAGTCCTCATCACACAGTAATTTGAATATATTTTCATTTAAACCGAAACGCGATAGTAACTAATTCACATTCGCATAAAAGCCACCTTATGCCTTTTGATGGATAAGTTATGGGTGAAAAATTTTGCATAAGGCATAATGTGGGCTGATAGAGAAAATTTGCCAGCGCCGCTGAAGGGGAGGAGGGTGGGGAAACTTGCTTGCCCGTTGTAGAGTAGACTTGCGAGAAGACAGTGAATACGCTCTTCTCACATATGGTAATATGCCCGTCTAACCTCGTTTACGAGTAAAAATTCTTTTGAAATTCAAATACGAAAACGTCCTCTGATTAGCATTTCAAAGGACTTTTTACTCAAAAACGAGGTTAGACGGGCATATTACCATACGTGAGAAGAGCGTATTTGTTTGCTAGGGCGTTTAAAAGGCCTAGGGAATTTCCCTGGGGACCGTAAAGGACCAATAGACTGCTTCGCGGGGGAGCACACACTAATCTAGTTGATTAAATCGTCACGCGGCGGCTTTTATACGAATGAGAATAGTAACTAATTCACATTCGCATAAAAGCCACCTTATGCCTTTTGATGGATAAGTTATGGGCGAAAAATTTTGCCCGACACCAGGGGTGCTATAGACTCATCCAAAAGACGGTAAATTATTGCAGAATACCTCATTAACTTGCAGTACAGCCAAATCTTCCCGAAACTCAGAAAAACCCAGAAAAACTCCCTTAGAGAGATGGGCAGTGTTGGCGTAATGCCTCCCAGATGTGACGGATTCAATTGAGGGGAGTGGCCCGGCCCAACTGTGGGGCTGTCCCTCCAGGATACGTTAAAGGAAAGCTGAAGGGTGACTTGCAGCATGTGTAACCCGGTTAGGGAAATCCGAACGGGAAGAGATAAAAAGAACCAAAGACGCTGCGATAGAGGGAGGTTGGGGGGGAACCCCACAGTTGAGTCGAGTCAGGACACCGTCCGAAGACTGGATGAGGGGAGTGTTTAGGAACCCCCCTGAGCACGACTCAAGTGTGGGGTAAGGAAATATAGGAAGCAAAAGCCAAAGAAAAATATAATATACAAGGAAACTCGTGCAAATTTATTAAGGCTGTACGCTAGAGTAAAGAGAATGTGGTTACTGATATCTAGGAGTTACGTCACCTTAACTGCGAGGGGGCACGGAGTATGCTGATATAGCACAATCAAAGTTATTCTCAGTTAGATCCTTTCTTTAGTGCGGGCCAATCGCGAAAATATTTCGAAGTATATCCATAACAGTTTGTCGAATGTGTCTCATCTTCCAGCAGTAGATCAAGGGATTGAGGGATGAATTGAGATACACAAGAGTCCTTGTGAAATAAGATAAATGAGATAACAAGGGAGTTTCACCATTGGTCTGGGCAAAAACAACACAATACAGTGGCAAATAGCAAACTAAATACACGAAATAAACGTAGAATGTAGCCAGTGAAGATTTTTTCAGCCTTGCGGCATTTGCCATATCTTCATTCTGTGTCGCCTGTTGTACTTGCAGAGCGTCACGGTGAATCTGATTTGTGTGGTGTCTCACGGAAGCGTATATCTTGCAATAAAGCAATCCTGTAGTTATGACACAAACAAGTGCAATGACCGCTCGCATAATACGAGGACTTCGGAAGGAAATTGATGCACTAAACACCCAGAGTGAGATCACAACATCAACAACACGTTTGTGGGTCACAAGCTCTTGATATCTGAGATGAAGCTGAATGGCCAAGAATCTGTCCACAGCTAATGCAAAAACACCAAAATGCGAAGCAAAGACCAATATTTTTGCCGGGATTGAACGCGCTAACTTTACTGTAGAATAAGCAGTACTGTTTTTTTCCATCACAAGAAATGCAACAAACAGTGGTTCGACAAGTAAGCCTACACCCAGATCAGACACAGCCAGGCTTAATAGCAATGTTTTTAAAGTCTTAGGCAACGACGACGTTTTTCTGAGCGCTTGCATGGTTATGATGTTTAATACGATGGCAGTGAAAGACAAGAAAGCGTTGAAGAAAACAAGTATCAAATTCAAGCCTTCAGCACTTGCCATTTTTTTTTTACATAACCCTAATCAGCGTTCAGTTTCTATGATATGCAAAGAATTTCATTGCTTTCTAGGTTTCATCCGTTTTTGAATGAGACTGACCTTCAGCTTCCACCATTGAATGGAGCGTTATATACAGTCTTAAGTTTCAGCTGCCGTACTTTTGAGGAACTCTGCAATTTTTTTCTTTTTTGCACGAGACTGACGCTGGAAATTACTCTTTGCGAGACTTACTGAATATTCTCCAGACGTCCTCCTCCGATGGCAATTGGTTTTTAACTGAGTACTGTTGAGTTAGTAAAAAAAGTCCCTAAGTCGTGCTCACAATATCCAATTTCTCACCTTGCTTGAAATTGAAACTTTGCATGTCTGAACTCGGAATTAAAACTTTAAATGTAACGTCATCATCACACAATAATTAGTATTAATTTTCTTTCGAGCGAAACGCGATAGGTCGTATAAATGTTGAAGTTCGTCAGTTAAAAAGGAAGGAAGTTATATGAAACTACTTACGCAATATTAAATAAGCAAAGGAAGTTGGTTTTCAATTATGAATCGCAAACATACAGTCAGACAGGACGAGCTGAGACGTGACTTAGAGGAAAACGGAATTTTTACGTCGCAAACCAATCCAACAGTATTTGCTGGACCCATGAACACATTTTTTGATAAATTGCATGTTCACGGGTGACTTAAAGAGTGTGAGGCGGCCTAAAGATACAGCACCCTAGTTACTTAATAAATCATCTGTTCCTTAATAATTAAAGCAGCTAATACGATGTAAGTCGTATTATATAGCTTCAGTTTAAAAGACACAGGCTGAATATTCTTATTTTTCTCTGCCGATTTTGGGCTGAAAATATTCTTGTATTATTCTTTAATTGTATTAGGATAAAGTTCGTCAGTCAAATGGAAGTAAGTTATTCGAAACTATTGGCGCGATATCAAAGTAGAAATGGCACCTGGTTTGCGGTGAATCGTAAACAGAAAGTCAAACAGGAAAGAGTTAGACGATCGTTTAGAGGAAGCGCGGACTATTAGGTCTGAGACCAATCCGCTACATGTTTGCTGGACTTAAGCGAAACAAACGCCCATTATTCAAAAATAAATACGTGGGCAGCCAGAGGCTAAATTGTGTGTTTACGAATAAAACTAAGCTAAAAATAAAATAATTTACCATACATCAATATTAAATATATTAAAAATTCATGCATATAATATATAAAAGCATTCAAACCGAATCATTTAATTGTACTTTAATTAGGCACGATGACAAAATAAAAGTGTTCTTAAAACGGTCCGTTTTCCACTTTGGAAGTGCAAAGTATCGGTGATTTCTTAGTAAATATGGAGCCTTATTGGCTTCAGTTAATAACTTGTTAAGTTTGTTATCCTTGTTGCAGAGGGCAGCGTTAAAAACCTTGTCACATATGTCCTCGCAATATGAAATAATGGTCGGAATACCAGTTTCATTAAGTGCCTCGTCGTAAGACAGACTGGGGCAAATGATTGATAACGCCATTTTGTTTTAGTAACTGTGACAAACGACGAGTCTTTTGAGTTGAGAGAAGAAACTTGTTCCCCGAAAAAAAAAGAAAATTACTAGCTAAGCTTTTAAAACATAGACCAGCACAGTAGGTAGTTAGTCTCGTTTGTGTGCGCGCCAAAAGGGAATCATGGTCCCAGGCGTTACTAGTGGAGATCGTGGAAATTGAAGATGGGAATTGCTACCTGTCACAGCGCCATGCTCTATTTTGTAAACAAAGCTTAGGAAAGATTGATGCAGAGATGTTGAGCTTTCCGGGAACGGGTCGGTCCACGAATTCTATTGCTTGAAAGCGTTGATTACTTTGGAACAGGTGAATGCTTCAGTGAGAACTTCGATGGTGAGGCTATAAACTGGTCGGTCGTTGTAAACTTTCATGGTATGAAAATGAGTCTTGTGATGAGCATGCGGTTTATTTTTGGCGATGATTGAAATGACGCGCCATGTTCATTACGTTTTTACTTTCTAGCAATGATTTGTATTTGCACACGCATATATTTTGAAGAAAATATTCATTAAATATTCTGAATTTATTAAATTTTCTGAAGAATATACGACCGTCGATAAAGTGGGAAGTGAAACCTTTAAGCGAAGAAATCCTGCTTCTTGTAGAATTAATCGCCTCCTTATCTCTTATCTAATCTCCAAACAACCGAGACTGGCCCTTTTAAGGTGGCTCCGTCATTAATATTGGAGCATTTAGCTGTGACAAATTTTCCGTCATAACTTTTTCGTTTTAAGAGCGATGGCTGCGAAACTTTGCAACGAACAACAGATATCATTCGGCAATAGTACGAAATATTCCGATTTTATTGATGGTAAATATTTCTTGAGACATTAGCGCTTAAAAGGACCCTGGTGTTCGAAGAAAATCGCGTCTGGTAAAAAATTTGGCTGATACTTTTTATTGAAATTTTTGGTATCGGCTTTCATTGACATAATAAATGTGCCAAAGAAATTTCAGAAAAATCGTTGGAGCAGAAGTCAGTAACTAAAAGTCGCTCAAAATTCAGCTGTGAAATTGTTTTGGAATTTCAAAAATAAATTACTATCAGGTAGAAGGAGCCACCAGTTCAAATTTTCGGGACAAGTAAATTCAGTGTTTGCTAAAAATGAAAACAAAAGCTGACTGCCTATCGTGCTATTCTTTAAAAGGTACTTTTTAGTTTTAGAAGCACTATAAACTGCTCCAAACCTTGCTCTGACGTCGAATGACTTGTTCCTCGACATTTTTAAAATATCAAGCGGGCAAGATGAGCCCTTTTTACCCACTTGGGATTTCCCGCATTGGTCCCGCAAGTAAAAGTTCTCTTCTTGGCCATGTAATAATTCATTTATTGACCAAGCTTGTTCGTTCAAGATGGCTGAATATTGGCCTCATTCATTTTTGCATTTTTATTGACCAAGACCAGGCTGTGTTCTGTGGCCCGTTGCACCTACATCTGTAACTTTTGTTCTCGGGTGACCAGAAAATCTTTGCTTTTTCATAGAAACATCTTTTGTTGGGCACACTGGATTTCACAAGTTCAGAGTGCTGGGCTGCCTTCAATTGTTCTTAGAGCACAGCCTTTTAAGAGGAAGGCAGGGTCAATAAAGATGCAAATATCCAGCCATCTTAACCTCACACCCAGTCAATAAAGCATAATTATTTATCACAATTTTATGGTTGAATCCATGAGCGGGCAAGATGCATGAAGCAAATCCTGTGATCTAATTAGCTACTCATGTGGGCAAACCAATCAAGCTTGTTTGGTGAAGATAGCTGGGTATTGGCCTCGCAAAAAAGAGTTTGGCCAATATCCCGCCATCTTGACCGAATGTTGGTCAATAACGCATAATCATTTATAACAATAATAATTATTAGAACTTTGTGAACATCTTTTCCAGAAAGGCATTTTATATTGCTTAAAAAGGGCTAGGTTATGCTATATTTTGTTCTGTGAGAGGCTTAAATGTATCGTGGCGTAAATTAAGCTCCAAAAATAATGGTCCAGTTTTGTTATTTAATACTTGATTGAGGCATTGGGACTGTTTCCTGTCACCTCTTGCTATGTACGACAAGGATGAACATGGATTGACACTTGGCCAACTTTTTCAAGCTTAAAATAATACTCTGACTGCGTAAATCACCAAGAATTATTATGGTTTGTACATCTTGATGAAATTGGCTTGATTCATGTATCTTCTTCACAATTCTACAAGTGGAGCATTTTGTGTATGGGTAAAGACACTAAGTGATGACTTCAGCATAGAAGTGACCTAAAACGTATACATGAAACATACTTTGTTTGTTGTTGTTGTTTTTTTTTGCATTTGAATCTTTGCACTGGTCATAGAAAATTGTGTAGTTTAGACTACCATGTCAGAAGAGTAAGAATATTTCCTGACACAATATAATATTATCCTGAAGCAAAATGGTGATATAAGTAAGTGGTATACGATCATACAGGTTAGTATAGTACTTAGTGGGACTGTTGACAGGAACTGATATTTTGACAATGCCCATGAAAATGATGATTACCTTGTTGTCAAAACGTTAGTCGCTGTCAACAACAGTCCTACTCAGGACTACAATGTACATTCACCCGACAAATCATATTCCACTTTGTTGAAATATTATAGGCAACCAAACCTATCACTAGCCATAAGCTGCACATGGAAGTGTTTATCACTATCTGCTATATAGGATATTAATTTGTTAACAGATTTGACATTTTCTTTACAAAAAAAACACCACGTTGTCCTAAAGAAAATTTCTAGTGGATTTCCTAAAGGAAGCCTGTTACTATTCTTGTTCATTGCTAGTGTGAATAGGCACTCACACTTAAAATGTAATTTAACTTAACCAAGAATACCTGATTGTCAATTTAGGAAGCAAGGAGAATAAAGGAAGTACTTGGAAAGATTGCTTTGGTATTATTTTGTGCAATAAATATGTCGAGAGAATGGGTTTTTGTTACTATAGATGGCGGGAAAACCACCCCAAGATAGTGAAAAGCGCTTTTTTCACGATGGAAATAACTTGAAAACACCAGTTTCCGACTCGTAAACTCTTGTTTCCTCAATAGTTACATCCGATTACGTTGACAGAAACATGAAATTGACTTGTTTCCGGAACGTTTTCGCGTGTTTCCGCAAGGATGCCACGCGTTAACGCTTGCGGGAACACGTGTTTCCTTAGACGGAAATTTGACGGAAACGTATAAAAAAGTGGTACGATTCCGCCGAAACCGCAGCGACGGAAACACGGGTAAACGTAATGTATCCGCTAACGGAAACATGTGATTGCCGTCATGTTTCCGCAACGGTTTTACGCGTTTGCGTTAAGTTTTCATTTACGGATTCTTGAAATTTCGTCCTGTGCTCATATAAAAGCGATTTCTTCCAAAATGTAGTAATAATTCCTTATATGTTGTAATAGTTTGCCTTTTCTCTGTGAATCTTGTACTTATTAATTTTTATTGTCATTGTAACTTAGCAGCACATTGTAAATCTCTGACCTACGCCATATAAGCCTCTGGCTTTGGCATCTTATTATCGTTAACTTGTGCTTTGTGTACTTATTTATCAATAAAGAAGAAATTATAAAGAAGAACTAAAATCGTCACTTAACTAAGTAAATTCGCACTGTTTCAAATTTCATCGAACTTATTCAGTTTCATTTACTGTGTTAAATGTTGACAAAATTCTCTGGGGTTGAATCCGAAAGGACCGTATCTGAGTTAAGAAAAAGATAATTTTTGTGCTGTGTTGACCAACTCCATAGAGCGGGCGCGTGAAATTAGGAAGTTCCATGTCGCAGTCGTGCAACGACGGCTAAGAAATGTAGCTAGAAAAAAGCGTGATGCACGTGCAAAGTTTTTATTTTGCTAAACCTATCGCTTTTTTGCCGCTCTCGTTGTTTTCGCCGTCGTCCTTGCTTAAGCTCTTCATTGTTGTTATCCTGAATTTTTGCTACCATGGCAACGTGACGTCACCCTGTTCTCTCTATTAGACCTATTTACTATTTTTTTTTGCCGTTTTCGTTGCCGTCGCCGTTTAGCGTTGCTTTCTGTTTCTGTTATACATGGTCTGTTCAATCTTGAAAAGTCCTTGAATTCGGTTTAGGTCCTTAAAAAATTCTTGATGTCTTTGTTAGGTCTTGAAAAGTCCTTGAAATTGAACAACCTTGTGGACACTTTCCTTTTTCTGTAAAATTACTCACATTATTTTCCCGAGGTGAATTAGGCTCATCCTCTGTGTACAAGAACTGTAAAACTCACGGGTAAAGTAAACACATTTTTGTGCATGAACAATATTTTGCTAACCCTAACCCTAATCCTAACCCCCATTATCTAAGGGTATGGATGACCGCCCCCCCCACCCGCCCTTATCCCAAGGTCTAGATCCGGAACTGAGTTGTACTTATATCATCTTGGTAGCTATTCTTATTCTTTTCCGTTTTTATGTAATCATTATGGTCCAATCTGTAATACTGTTATATACTTTCTTTTAGTTTTAATATTTGTAACTGTAACATGTGTTGTGTAAATAAACGACTATTGAATAAAATAAAAAATATATTTTCTTGTTCGAGTAAATTATTTACAAGTATATTAACGAAAGCCTAGCTTCGCTTTTAGCGCTGGCTAAATCTATAAACTATAGTTAGGGTTATAGGTGTTAACAAGCGAACTGAAGGCATGTGGCCAGCCTGCATACATCTGTTATTATAGAGTTCTCATGGAAGCTTGATTTTTTGGGTGTATTGTTTCTTTTGTTGTATGTAATCTGTCTCGGCACTTTATAGGGACCGTGTACCCTCGACCATTTCTTCTTGCAGACAAATTCAGATTAGGCAAAACATTTCCTTAGAACCTCTGAAAATCTTCATGCATTAGAAGGTTAAGGTTATGGCTGGTTGTGTTACATGTTAAGCTATGAAATCAGCGCAGTCATCAGTGGCGTTAATTAAGAAGGATTCAGAAGTTCCAAGTTACGCTCTAATTTTCGAAGCCGAATTGATATTAAATTTAACATTACAACTGCATGCAAAAAAAGTCCTCCATTTGTTAAATAGCTTTCTTCCTTTACATCATGGCTCCCACATTTGCTATACATTCCACAATATTCATCTGGCACGAAACTTATTATGAAAACAAATATAATTACGGTTTTTTATGGTCTTTTATAAACTCTTTCTTTCTTAACAGCGTCTTGCAGATAAATCTAAAGCGGGAGTGGCCTATCAGCGCGCTCTCATCAAGCCAGATTTCTCTACTTTCTTGTAACTAGAAAAATACGACTTTCAAGCATGTACTATTTAACAGACATTGATCTGGAAGAAGTCGTTTTGTCTACTGATGATGGTATTTACTTTATGTGACACTCGCTGGAGTAACAGTAACATTAACAGTATCTTTTTTGTTTCTTACTCTCCATATGGAGTGCGTTACTCTCCATATGGGGGTATCGGTCTGTTTACAATGAAGGTCTTTTACATTTAAGTAACATTATTATTCATTCAAATTATTTCCCCGATTCTGATTGGCTAAAAGCACACGTTTAATTCACCATAACCAGTTACTGATGACCAAATTTGGAAGAATTTTGACTTTAACGAGGAAATGACGTCAGATATGCAGCGTTTTTGCAGGTTAAGGCACGTTAACCGAGAAGACCAGGGGACGAGGTTGAGTTGTTTTGGTTGTGAACTTGAAAAAATGGCGGACATTTCACTCGTTTCAAGAGTAAGAACTAGGCGAAAAAATAGCTAAAAACATGGCCAGAACAGCAAGAAGACAACTCGAAGGGCGACGTCTGCTATTTGGAGAATATTTGCGGAGCTGCACAAACCTAAATTTACACTATCGAAGATGAACTGAACATCGATGGATCGATGGAGGTAAGCATGTTTTAGCTATGTTTTTAAACTAGGAATTATTTCGAATGAATAATAAAACAGTTATTGAATTTGGCTTTCGTATCATATGAAGAATTATGGAGATCGAGGAGGGTGTTATCCGCCTCGGCCTACGGCCTCGACGGATAACACCCTCCTCGATCTCCCTAATTCTTCATAAGATACTCAGCCTCATTCATTAACTGTTAAATAACGTTTAACTAATGATGTACGCACCATAAAATCATCAAAGATTTTCTATCAAGTTACATTTTCAATAATTCTTTCCTCTTTTTGAACGTAAGATTAATATATTTGACTATTATTTTACAAGTATTTTTCTCTGCTGTTAATTAATATTTTTTTCTGTCATGGGCAGTAAGATTCACAAAAGCAACATCCTTACTTGAAACAAAATTAATTAACTCCTGTCGCAATACATTGTACCCATTGCAAAACATAAAGAAGTGTTGTTCATCTTCGACTTGGTTTGTTTGCAAACCAAGCACCTTCTGTCTTCTACAGGTATGGAAACGCCGCAGATTTCATATTTTCCAGTTTGTATCCGTGTTGAACTTGAGGAAACACAATTTTGGTCATTAAGCCAATTTTGGGAGCTGCTGGCTGAGAACCGCACGGCAGTTCTCCCACGCATACGCGGGGAAGGCAGATCAGGAGTTGCCCCTTTCTTTCAGTTTGTCCACGTGACACTCCCAATATATGATGCAAATTCTCGCACGCTAGTCCCGATTTGCTGATACGGTCAGGCCAAGTAAAAAAATGTTTCTCGTCCGCAGAGCGAGCGAGCGGGCGTAAGAAGAGTGTAGTTAATTCTGTTTACTTGAAAGAGCGCCACGGCGCTTATTGTTTTTCGACTTTTAGTTGCGAAAGTTATTTGAGGGCTGCGCTCTTTGGATTAAATGCCATAGAATTGTGTTTTTCGAAAGGGTGCCGCTAACCTGCGTAGGAGGCGTTAGGAAGTAAATGGGCGCAAGAAAGAACGGGCGCGCGCGAGTGCCCGCGCCCTTTCCCTTCGCGTGTTTCCTTCTCGCGCGCGCGTTTTTTCCTGCGCCCATTTATTTCCTAGCGCCTGCTATGAAGGCTAGGGTGCCGCGGAACTTTTTTGTGTCCGCCTGCAATTTAAAGTGGTACTCTTTCGATTAATATACGGTTTTGATAGCATTTTAGGTTTCTATTACATTTGTGGCTAATTTTTACTACATTTGTGGTCAATTATTGCATTTGTCACTTCAACAGTACCCCTTTCGTCTGCCTTCTATTGATAAATGGTACCCCTTTCACATACCTAGTTTAGAACTTTGTATCCCTTCGAACTGCTGTAAATGTACTGTCTTTTAAATGTGAGCAAATCAGAAAGCCAGAGAGCTTTTACGCGCCGACTCTCTCACAGACATGATGCATCTTTCAGTTGTGTTGGGCCTTTCTACGGACCGAAATGACAAATTTCCATACTGTTTCATTTATTTCAACTAGTGAAATCCTTATCCTTTCATGTACCTGAGGCATGGAATCGGGTTGAGCCTCTCCGCATTGGTCATTATAGGGACTAACCTCTAGGCCAGACATACGATACGCGATTCAAAGGAATTAGGCTATAGACCTTTGTCACGCGGCGGCCATTTTGTTTCAGGAGATTTAAAAAGCTTTGTTTATGCACGGCTAGCCTCGTTCTCTCTACGTGGCTAGCTGTGCATAAACAAGAGGCGGTCCGTGAAAGAACCGACCTCTCGAATTTCGGCGGAAAACAGAACCTTTTTTCTGCGACATAATTAGTCCATTCCATTAACAAAAACCAAATTTATTTGACTCATACTGCTTTTTAAGGGCCTGTTTACATGAAGGTGGGGGACCCCAGGTAGGTGAGGTAACTCGCTTAGGTGGGGTAAAAAAATAACCCTCCTTTACATGCAATCTTACAACCCCGCCATCCCGGGACACACTTTGTCAAGATTATTCAATGGTCGCTTTCACGTACACAAGAAAAATGCTGGCAAACCACGTGTTTTGGCTATTAATGCTATTCAACACTCACCTGCTGCTCTTGCTGCAACCTTCAGTCCTATGGCTTTCTATTTTTACCTTTAATAATGATGCACAGCCACCGCCAAAGTGATTTTTGCGCGAATTCGATGTATCACGAAACCGACCCCGGCTAGGCGGGTTACCCCACCTTGAAACGTTTATGGTAAAATTTCACCCCGGCAGGGAGGGTTACCCGGTCTCCCGCCTTGGCGGGTCACCCCACCAATCATGTAAACGTGATCAACTTAAACTGAGAGATTATATGAACAGGCGGGTTACCCCACCTAAACGGGTTACCTCACCTACCTGGGGTCCCTCACCTCCATGTAAACAGGCCCTAAAAGAAATTTGGGCGGCGATTTGCCTGGACGGTCGATCCAAAGCTGTCATGATCGTCTTTTTTAAGATCAAATTTAAGCGTTTTGTTCAAGGCTCGCAAAAAATTTCACATTTATCCAAGTAGCATAAGACAAAAGTATGATTTTAATTCATGCTTCCTTTATTCAAAAAAGGCAAAATATTTAAATTCTGACATAAAAAAGGGAATTATGATGTTTTGAAAATACAACGTAAAGCGTCCTTGAAAAAAATGCGCGGTTGTCCTAGTTTTGAAATGAGCTTTTTTCAAAAGTCTGACATTATCTGGAGTCTTGGTCACTATGCCTGTTCAGTACTAGGGTAGTGTATTGAAGTCAAGAAAAACATTTTTGGGCACTGTTGATTCCGAAGCACAAGAGTTCGATTAAGTTGGGTAATATCATACTGTAAAATTGTGCGTATGACGTAATTTACACATTTCTTGATTCCGAACTTTCCCACTAAAAAACTGAAAATCATTACTGTCAGGGGGCAGCTATTTTCAAACTCCGGTGAATGTTGCCATGTCAAGTTGTGGCTAAACAGTTTAGAAATTTCCCTGAAATAAAGGGGCTACCAATGGTAAAAAAATCAAAATACATTATCAATTGATTTACCTTGTAATTACCACCTCAAAAGTTATAACACGATTCAACAAAGAAATCGTTTACCAAAATGTACCGAATTTTCTAGCCACAAGTTTTTGTGTGCAGACGACATAATTTATGTTGTGTCTGACGATGTCAAATTCAGATTTCAGTTCGCAGTGCAAAACATGTTGGATGTTATTTTATCGAAGCTGAAACTACTTATCAGGCTTAACGAGGTAAAATAAACAAAGTACAAAAAACTGGCTACTATTAAGGATAAAAATGTTCTGCTGGTTTACTATTTCTTCATGTTTTTAATTTAATTTTAGTTAATTTTTCTGGCGTCGTTCACATAATTTAATTTCGTCTTCCTGAACACTTCAACTAGATACTTTCGTTCCTTATCCAATTACTTAAAAGCGAGCTATATACTGAGGGGAAGTCCCACTCTATATGTTTCCTGAACGTTAAACGATCGATCTCGTATTTGATAGTATTTTGCGGCCAGAAAATCATTTCCAAACAAATGACACATCAAATGATCATAATTTGGTTTTTGTAGTTCATTAGCAATAGTTCTTTGCTGTGCGTCATCCATAAATCTGGTCGCTGATTTATAGACCATATAATATAATTTCCAAGATGGGATACTTAACGATTATTCCTCGCGCCCGAATGGGCTATTAACTCAGAGGCCATGAGGGCGAGAGGAATAATTGTTTTAGTAAAATCCAACTAGTTGGTCAAAAATACCGAAAAAGAAAAAAACTTTAGCAAGCAAAACGCGACTCAGCCGCCATATTGTTTGGGTTTTCAAAGCCGGCGCTTTTCGCTACTAGGGGGCTATAACATAAAGCCTAGTAGTAGCTCAACCAATCAGAACGCAACTTTGATAATACACCACCTGTTGGATTTTACTAAAAAAAGTATACGGTAGTTTCTTTTATCAACGTAGTAGTAAATCTAGTATTTTTAAGTCTTTCCAGGTTGCAAAACTTTTTTTTGTTTCTTTTTGTTACAAGCTATTTGCACAGCGTGCAGAAAGAAACACAGTGAAGAATTAGATCGGAAATCAGACTGGCTACACCCTGAGGAAACTGAGGGAGATGTGCTCCTTCAAAGGTACTGTCGGGAGGGTAGCCTTTCCATTTCTATTCTCCGCAGACCTGCTAAAGAGGCTGCTGTGGGAGCCATCGGTCGCATGGTCACTTCGACTCCATTTCTTGAAGACCAATCAACGCCAACGTCTTGGAATCCCATAACAACATGCTGGACTCCAGGGTCAGAGGAGGCCTCTTTTACTTCACCCGTGGTAACCGATGCAGCCGGCAGGTATAACGAGGCGATGGATACAACTGCGAGTCTTATTACACAAGAAAAAGTAGAACGCGAGCCCCTTAAATATCAGCTTAAAATCTTCATTCCAAAACTCAAGCGATGGGGAACAGTTGAAAGTTGTAAAAAAGGCTAAAGAGGACTGCTTGCACGCATGTAGTGTAATTGCCCCGAGGTAACGGGGGAGGAGCTCTTCGAGTCAGTGATGTCTGTAAAAAGAGAAATATTTGATGGCTCAGCTCCCGATGATCTTGTGGTGCTCAAGACGGCTTATAAGAACGCGAAGACCAAGAATTTAAAGAAACAGATTCTGAGCCTTTACGCTAAAAGATACCCTATGACCAAGATGAAGAAAATTTACAAACCTTACGGAAGTCTCTCTACATGGGAAATAAAGCACGCACGTTCTCATGCTAAAATGCACGGCCCTGGGACCATCCCTGAAATCAAGACGAAGCATCGCGTACACCTTGATATGGGGGAGGTCGACCACTTTGTAGAATTCATTAATGGACCCTTATTTTTAACAGGATGTTTCATATGGTAACAAGGTACTCACCCTAGATAATGGTGACAGAATTGAGATGCCTAACGTTGTAAGGATCCTGACCTGGTCTACAATGATTGAGCAATACTTGGATTATTGCAAAGAGCAATGTCACGAGCCACTTAGTAGGTCTACGCTGTTCAAAATATTAGAAGTTCGAGAAGCGTCTTAGAGTAAATCGCTCTAGGGCTTAAACAATACAGCTGCAAATGGTGCTGAGGGCTTTCAGACTATCGAGACGCTGGTTGAAACTCTTGAGAAAGGAGGAATGGAAAAACAGTGGTGTCTCCGTATTTGCCAAAACCTACGCGATGCTAAACGCTATCTCAAAACTGACTGCCGTGTGCACTGTCAACAGTGACTATGTATATATGTATATATGTAATGATTTTAGGATTTTATATATGTATATATGTAATGATTTTAGGATTTTTATTTTTTATTCAGACCTTTTTGAAGTAATGTAAAGCGCTTAGAACTGAAAAGTATAAGCGCTATATAAATATTTTATTATTTTATTATTATTATTTTTTCAACAGTCTCACTCTACTTGCGCTGACCACTGTAGAAAGTTTGCGCTTAGTGATCCTGTTAATCTTGAGCTCCAGCATCCTTGTCCGCATCAGCATCAATCGACTTGCGAGCAATGCCAAGGGCTGAAGAATGTTCTAAAGGAAGTGAGACTAGCGATTGAAGAGTCATCATGGAAGCCTTATAGTTCCGAAAAACGAGAAGATTTCCTTTACGACTTTGACCGTGCTCAGTCAGACATCACGTGCTGTGGAAAGCACACATTGTGTGCTCAATAAATCAAGAGGAGGCGAAACAAGATGCACTGAAATCAGAAGACCCACAGGCAGCCATTCTGATCATGGACCTGGCCATGAAGTTCCTCCAAATAAAATTTCGTGAGAAACAGTCTGAATGGTTCGGCAAACGGGGGCTCAGCTGGCATATTTCCACCTTTATAACTAAGAATGTTGACTCTGGAAAAATTGAGCTGAAATCGTATGCTCATATCTTCGACTCTTGCCAGCCAGACTGGTACGCAGTATGCTCGATCATCGAAGACACACTTGAGGTTGTAAAGAAAGAACATCCCCAGATTACCCAAGTGAACCTAAGGAGTGACGAAGCAGGCTGTTACCACAATAACTTTCTCTTAGCCGCCGTTAGAGATGCCGGAAGACGAGTAGGCATTGAACTAGCACGGTATGACTTTTCCGAGCCGCAGTATGGAAAAGATATCTGTGATAGAATCCTTTGCCCAATGAAAGCATCCATCCGACGATATTGCAATGAGGGACACGATGTCGTTTCTGCGAAAGACATGCGTGTAGCGCTTTCAGAACGCCCTGTTCAAGGTACAACTGCCTCCGTGTGTGCAATGAATGAGACTCAAAAGACACTTCGAAGTACATAAGATAGAAGGTTTCAGCAAGTATCACAATTTCAAGTTTGAAGTGGAAGGAATTAGAGCATGGAGAGCTTATGGTGTTGGACTAGGCAGGTTTATTCCTTACCGAGAGGTCATAACTGAACCTCAAGGTCCTACTGATCTCATTGTGCATGAGAACTTCTTTACTCTCAAAGAAGCTGGAGTATATAAGAGAGAGACAAACAGTGAAAATGAACAATGCAACGGTCTTTTCTCTTGTTTTGAGCCCGGGTACAACATGGTTTTCAAGAAATTCAGCGAACTCGAAAATCACCTTGATCTTGGTGAGCACAGCCAAGTTCGCCGAAACTCTGATACGCTGTATGACAAGCTCAGAAGAGACTGGGCGGAGAAATTTCGTACTGTTGATAAGGACGAAGAAATTAAATCAGAAGCATGCCAGAAGCAGTTGGAGAGGAGCGTCACGAAAAGAATGAAACTGGCCGCTCTCCCCAGTGCAATGACTTGTAAACTGGATGGCCTCTACACAAGCCCCGAAACGAAGCTGTGCGTTTTCCTACCGAGGTTAAACAGTACCTAACAGTGAAATTTGACCTTGGAGAAAGAACTGGCATCAAGTCAGATCCCGCAAAAATGGCAGCAGATATGCGAACTGCAAGAAACCCAGATAGTTCTCTGATGTTTAGAAAGGAAGGAAAAAAGGAAAGGAAACTCTGGCTCACAAAAGGTCAAGTACAGGCTAGCGGCCTCGCGAAGAAGAAAAGCACATCGGGAAGCGCTCAATGAAGACGTACAGGCAGAACAGGAAGAGCAGGAGAGACGAGCCGTCCTGGAAGAGGTGGCCACCCACGTTGGTCCTTGGTCCTTGGTCCTGAAATACTTTGAAATTCCTTTTAGTTCTCGCGACAGAAAACAAAAATCTTGTAGCGAACCTATCCGAATTTCTTGAAGGCTGTGACTGTAACCAGCCGCATTAAGGCACAAACTGCTATTAAGTAACCAACAGGGTTTTTCAACCTCGAATTCATGAAAGGGAACGAAAAAAAAATCGTGAGGGCAGTTATTTTTTCAAAAACTTGAAAAGACGTTTTATGACTTTTATAATTTTTAAAAAGTCGAATTAGAAAAGAACATGTTTTTTGTCAACCGTAATAAAAAAAAGGAATTACGCGTGACAAGCTAAAAAAACTGACATTCACGTGTAGCCAACGTGACGGGAAATTAACACTCTTCAGATGATTTGAATTGCGGCTGCGTTCTACCGAGTGTTTTTAATAAAATGTGTAATTCTTTTAAACAGAACTCACTTTCGTCAAATACTTATATGCTTAACTTGCAATTGAATGAAAAGATTTTTTTCTTTCTTTGTTGATCATGCAAACCTAAGACCAATTTAATTGAAATAAATTTTGTTAACAACTTTTTAGAAGAAAACTTAGACGACAACTGACGCCGGAATCGATAATTTCGGCTATTAAACTTCGCAATTTCTGCTTTCGTGTAGCATTTTGGTAAGTTGTTAGTTATTTACAGTTTATCTCGAACAATAAAAGCTACTTTTTAATATACCGTAAAATTCCAAAATTAACCCCCAGAGCTTATATATTTTTCAAAGGCCCTTTTGGAGGGGTTTATATTCGGAGGGGCTTATCTACGGAGGGAAATTTGCGTTTCAAAATCGATTGGGCTAGCCTTATAGTTGAAAGTAAATTTACCGTTTTTGCTTTGTTTTACTTTGTATTTGAGGGCAATTTTCCAGGTACATTTAGCCCCCAGGGGCTTATATTTGGAGGGGCGATTTAATGGAGGGTTTTTTGCGTTACGAGTTTGGGGGGCTTATATTTGGAGGGGCTTATACATGGAGGGGCTTATTTTCGGAATTTTACCGTATTTGCTCTCTCGGTTCGATTTTCAGTGTGAAAGTTCGGGAATCACGAAAATGCGTAAATTACGTCATACGAACAATTAAAGTCGAATATTACCCAACTTTATCGAACTCTTGTGCTTCGGAATCAACAGTGCCCAAAAATATTTTTCTTGATTTCGATACACTAGCCCTAGTACTAAACAGGGATAGTGACCAGCACTCAGACTTTTGAAAAAAGCTCATTTCAAAAACTAGGACAACCGCTCATTTTTTTCAAGGACGCTTCACGTTGTATTTTGAAAACATCATAATTCCTTTTTTTAAGTCAGAATTTAAATATTTTGTTTTTTTTTTTAATAAAGGAAGCATGAAAGAAAATCACACTTATGTCGCAGAAAAAAAATGAAGAAGTTCTGTTTTCCGCGGAAATTCGAGTGGTCGGTTCTTACACGGACCGCCTCTTAAATGGTATATTTTTACCATTCTTCAAAACATTTTAACTTTTTCACGTGAACTTTATTGAACTTTATTGTAATATATATTCTCAACAGTATAAACTACCAGTATAGTTTTCGTCTTTCTCAACAAATAGGCTGTGTTGTTCTTCTTATCATTAGTATTCTCATTAGTATTCTTCTTATTATTATTTTTATTATAATAATAATTATTATTATTATGTGTTGTTGTTGTTGTTGTTGTTGTTGCTATATCGGTAAATCTTTTTACCACTCTTGGTACATTCAGTATGGAAGATTTATTGATATAGTTTTGAACTCTCTCCTCTTTAGTTAGTTTTCTTCATCGCATGCACTATGGTTAACAAAATCTAGTAAACTTTTTAAGACACTTTACTGTGCACAGAACTTTTTGCCCATAAAAATTTGGAAACTGACGGCCCCCTATTTATCAAGTCACTTGTCCTAAACCACCTACGTACCGTTTTCTTTTTGCCCTCTTTCTGACTTTGATAAATAATGCTTTCAGATCGAGTTTCCGTTATTTGTTAAAAATATTATTCCAAAGCAAACTGAAATATCATCAACTTATACTCACTCGATCATATATTTATCCCTTTGCCTTCAAACAGGGAGTACAAGAAGGTTTCAGGTCTCTTTTATATTTAGTGTCATTTTTCCCACTTTACTGCTGGAAAGCTAATATTTTCACCGCTCAGAGAGAAAAAGGCAGAAGTTATTCTCAGTTAGATCCTTTCTTTAGTGTGGACCAATCGCAAAAATATTTCGAAGTATATCCAAAACAGTTTGTCGAATGTGTCTCATCTTCCAGCAGTAGATCAAGGGATTGAGGGATGAATTGAAAAACACAAGAGTCAATGTGTTATACCATAAATGAGATAACAAGGGAGTTTCACCATTGGTCTTGGCAAAAACAACACAACATATTGGCAAATAACAAACTAAGTACACGAAATAAATGTAGAATGTAGCCAGTGAAGATTTTTTCAGTCTTGTGGCGTTTGCCATATCTTCATTCTGTGTCGCCTGTTGTACTTGCAGAGCGTGAATCTGGTTTGTGTGGTGTCTCACGGCTGCGCATATCTTGCAAAAAAGCAATCCTGTAGTTACGACACAAACAACTAAAATGACCGCTCGCATAATATCACAATCATACAATTTACGTAGGATGCAAATTGATGCACTAAACACCCAGACTGAGATCACAACAGCAACAACACCTTTGTGAGTCACAAGCTCCTGATATCTGAGATGAAGATAAATGGCCAAGAATCTGTCCACAGCTAATGCAAAAACACTAAAATTCGAAGCAAAGACCAATGTTTTTTTCTGGATTAAATACGCTTCGTTTACTGCTTTATAAGCAGTACTGTTTGTGTTTTGTTTTATTTTCATCACAAGAATTGCAACATACAGTGGTTGGACAAGTAAGCCTACACCCAGATCAGACACAGCCAAGCTTAGTAGCAAAGTTTTTAAAGTCTTAGGTAACGACGACGTTTTTCTGAGCGCTTGCATTGTTATGATGTTTAATACGATGGCGGTGAAAGACAAGAAAGCGTTGAGGAAGCAGTTAATAACAAGTGTCAAATGCAAGCCTTCAGCACTTGCCATCTTTTTTTTTACATAACCCTAATCAGTGTTCAGTTTCTATAATATGCAAAGAATTTCATTGCTTTATAGGTTTCATCCATTTTTGAATGAGACTGACCTTCAGCTTCCACCATTGAATGGAGCGTTATATACAGTCTTAAGTTTCAGCAGCTGTGTAGAACGTTTGAGGAACTCTGCATATGTTTTCTTTTTTGAACGAGACTGAGACTGGAAATTACTCTTTGCTAGACTTAGTGAATATTCTCCAGACTTCCTCCTCCGATGGCAATTGGTTTTTAACTGAGTACTGTTGAGTCTTCCGCGACATTAGTAAAAAAAAGTCCCTGTGAGTAAGTCGTGCTCGCTCACAATATCCAAACTCTCACCTTACTTGAAATTGAAACTTTGCATGTCTGAACCCGGAGTTAAAACTTTAAATGCAACTTGATCATCACAAAGTAATTAGTATTAATTTTCTTTCAAGCGAAACGCAATAGGTCGTATAATGTTGACGTTTGTCAGTTAAAAAGGAAGAAAGTTGTATTTAACTACTGACGCAATATTAAATAAGCAAAGGCAGTTGGTTTTCAATCATGAATCGCAAACATGCAGTCAAACAGAAAGAGTTGAGCGGTGACTTTAAAGGAAAACTGATTTTTACGTCGCAAACCAATCCAACAGTATTTGCTGGACCCATGAACACATTTTTTGATAAACTACATGTTCACGTGTGACTTAAAGAGTGTGAAGCGGCCTAAAGGTACAGCACCCTAGTTAATTAATAAATCATCCGTTCCTTACTGGAATTTAGTATCAATTGCAAATAATCAGAACACCTGTTTACAGCTATTTCGTGAAAGGTTGTCGGAAAAAGTGCACGCGATAATTCCTAATGGTATTGTTTGTAGTTTTGAGTTTACTGTTCTTCAAAGAAATTTGAAAGAATGGCACGAGAGGCCATGGACGTATGTTTGCGAAAGCTAAAGGAAAGCAACAAAAGCAGGTTCGACAGCTACAGTGTCAGAAAAAAGTATATTGGTCATATCCCATATTACCTTTCGGGCATTTTCGTGTGCACAGTTTTTCCGACAACCTTTCTCAAAACAGCTGTATACATGACGTGGTAATCCGAAGAGCAACTATGTGTCAAAAAGTATAATATATGCCAAAAACTGCAATCGAATACAACAAAATCAACTTACACTAGTATCCTTTATTAACTTGAAGGCAGCTAATAAGATGTAAGTCGTATTAGCTTCAGTTTCTTCAGTTTAAAACACACAGGCTGAGTTAATTCTTATTTTTTTTCTGTCGATTTTAGGCTGAAAATATTCTTGTATTATTCTTTAATTGTATTGAAAAAAGAAAACAACTATTATGATACTTTTTATTTTGAAGGTTTATTTCTTTTGTGCTGTATACTGTAGATGTGTGTAACATCATGATGTATCGTTCATCAAACTCTCATTAGCATCAACATTTAGCTATAGCAACTAGTGCAAGTTTTTTTCATTTTGTTGGTTATTTTTGCCAGAAGAGTAAGTTCGTCAGTCAAATGGAAGTAAGTTATTCGAACTTTTGGCGCGAGATCAAAGTAGAAGTGGCAGCTGGTTTACGGTGAATCGTAAACCCAAAGTCAAACAGAATAGAGTTAAGCGATCGTTTAGAGGAAATGCGGACTATTAGGATAGATAGATAGATAGATAGATAGATTATTAAAAATAAATACATGGGCAGCCAGAGGCTGAATTGCGTATTTACAAATAAAACTAACTGTAAAAATAGAATAATTTACCATACATCAATATTGAAAATATTAAAAATTCATGCATATAAAATATAAAAGCATTCAAACCGAATCATTTAATTGTACTTTAGGCACAATAACAAAATAAAAGTGTTCTTAAAACAGTCCGTCTTACCCTTTGGAAGTGCAAAGTGTCGGTGATCTCTTAGTAAATAAATAAATAACTTTAATAGTAACATCTTCGTGAGGTTTTTCAGGAACTATTTACAAACTATTTACAATTTATAAAAGCAAAAATGACAATAAAACTCGAAAACACAATTTATGATGGTATTCTACTAAATTCTAGAGCTTATGAAGGAAATGTCTGCCTCAATAGTTTGTCTTTCAGGGCGCGCTTGAAAGATGTCAATGAGGCACTTTGCCTAAGTTCATTATGCAAGTTATTCCATGTGTTGGCCCCTCTGTAGGAAAATGTGCGCTGGCCTATAGCCGTTCTGTATAGCAGAATCTGCAAAGAGTTCCGCGTACGAGTGTTACAAGTATGTATATTTGAGCGCTTGGTAAACTTGCTCGTTAAGTATTGAGGCGCAAGATCTGCCTCGTACCCAGACGTTTCTCTTTTCATTCCCATGGTCCCTTGCGGTTCATCACCAGTCACTCGTTTCGCGCTCGCCTCTGCCATGCGAAAAACGAAGCGCCTGAGGAGGAGGCTGGCGCAAGATCGTTCTGACATTTAAAGGTCAAAACGGAGTCTCTATAGAATAATTGTTCTTTAACAGGAAGCCAATTTAGCTCTCGAAGCAAAGGTGTTACGTGGTCAAACTTCCTAGAGTTTGTTACGATCTTGCTGGCAAAATTCTGAATAGATTGTAATCTGTTTATATTCTGGAGTGTAGTATTTGACCATACAGATGAGCAGTAAAGCATCTTACTAAAGACTAATGACGTTATTAACAACTCTGGTGTTTCCTTGTCGAAGCTCCTTTTGACTCTATTTATTTGGCAAAGCTTTGCGAAACAAGATGAGACTACACATGAAATATGGTGATCGTAGGTCAGATGGGGGTCAAGAAAGACTCCCAAGTCCTTGGCAGAGTCTGTTGGCTTCAGTGTTTTACCTAAGAATACCACTCTAGGGTCTTCTGGTAACCTGCTTAACATCTGTCTGGTACCGAGGAAAAGGAGTTTAGTTTTATCGGGACTGATAATTAATGGTTCTCACAGCACCATTGAGCTACATTGTGAAGGTCTTGTTCGAGCTTTTCAATGGCAGCATCAAGCTCAACGAGAGGAAATGACATGAATCGCTTTGAGTCATCCACATACGATTCTAGGTTGCAAAACGTCGGTGCCGTGGGTAAATCGTTGAGATAAATGCAGAACAACAATGGTGATAGGATTGCGCCTTGAGGACTTCCGTGAGTTATAGGTAGAGTGTCAGAGTAGGCGGAGCCAATTCTCACGTACTGCCTGCGACCAGTTAAATAGCTCTTGAACCATTTGACAGTAGAGGGTGAGGCTCCTAAGATGGAGAGTTTGTGGAGCAACCTTGCATGGTCTATACTGTCGAAGGCTTTGGATAGATCTAGTAGTACTAGTGCTGTTAGTTGCTTTTTATCCATTGCTTCGAAAATCTTATCCGTGAGCAGGATTTTTAAGGTCTCTGTAGAATGAGCTTTTTTATTGCCGCTTTGGTGTGAGGTAAGGCGGTTGTTTTTTGTGAGACAGGCGCTGAACTGATTCAAAACAATCCTTTCGAGGACCTTTGAAGCTACGGCTAGCAGAGATAACGGTCTGTTGTTGGCAGCTTTTTCATGGTCACCGTCTTTAAGAATCGGAATCACCTCGGCCTCTTTCCAGTTGTCAAGAAATGTGCTAGTAAGGATAGAACAATTGATGATGTCAGAGGGCCCAATATGATAGGGAGACAGTCTTTTAGTACACGAGCGCTGATCTTGTCCGGTCCCGGAGATTTATTCATTGGGAAAGATGTTACAATTCGGCGGACCTCACACATTAAATGAAGAGCGGAGCGCTCGTTTCCTCGACCAACCTTTATCCGCCCTAAAAAAATGTTTCTCGTCCGGAGAGCGAGCAAGCGGGCGCAAGAAGAGTGTAGTAAATTCTGTTTACTTGAAAGAGCGCCACGGCGCTTATCGTTTTTCGACTTTAACCAGTGCAAAAGTTATTTGAGGGCTATGCTCTTTGGATTAAATCAAGGCAATAGAATTGTGTTTTTCGGAAGGGTGCCGAGGAACTTATTTGTGTCCGACTTTAATTTAAAGCGGTACTCTTTCGAGAAATATACGGTTTTGATAGCATTTTAGGTTTCTATTACATTTGTGGCCAGTTTTTGCTACATTTGTGGTCAATTATTGCATTTGTCACTTCAACAGTACCCCTTTTCGTCTGCCTTCTATTGATAATTGGTACCCCTTTCACATACCTAGTTTAGAACTTTGTATCCCTTCGAGCTGCTATAGCTGTAAATGCACTTTTAAATGTGAACAAATCAGAAAGCCAGAAAGCTTTCTCGCGCCGACTCTCTCACAGACATAATGCATCTTTCAGCTCTTTTGGGCCTTGTTACGGACCGAAATGACAAATCTCCCCACCGTTTCATTCACTTCAACTAGTGAAATCCTTACCCTTTCATGTACCTGAGGCATGAAAAAGGTACCCTGTTCGGCTGAGCCTCCCCGCATTGGTCATTAGGGAGCTTTAGCATCGACGACGGCGACGGCAGAGAGAACGTCACTTTTAAAATGAATTCGCGGTTTTTCAATCTTGGTCGCGTTTATTCCAATTCACTGAAAAAGTGAAATGTGGGCGAATTCCACTGGAGTTGATTTCTTGGGGACAGGACTCAAGCATAGAAAGAGAAAGGAAAATTCGCCGTCGCTTCTTTACGTTCTCCATAAATCGTGAAATTAGGCATTTTCACGTCGTAGTCGTGCAAAAAAGTGTGATGCACGTGCAAAGTTGTTGCTGTGCTAATCAAACCTATTGTTTTTTTTTGCCGTTCTTGTTGCCGTCGCCGTCGTCGTTGCTAAAGCTCCCTATTAGAGGGACTAATTAACGACTAGGCCAGACATATGATATGCGATACAAAGGAATTAGGCAATAGACCTTTGTCATTCGGCGGCCATTTTGTTTCAGGAGATTTAAAAAGAATTGTTAGAAAGCCTCGTTCTCTTTACGAGGCTAGCTGTGCATAAACAAAGCTTCTTAAATCTCCTGAGACAAAATAGCTGCCGCGTGACAAATCTAT